TCATATCGTCACGATCGATCCCTCGACCAAGATGCTATTTTATTTAGGTTCTTATCGGGAATACGTGCCGGTCAGAAAAGTTGATTTGGCAGATTGTGGCGGTCGGCAATTCTGCGTGCCGGTCGGGCCCGACCGGCGCCGACCGGCAGCGGCAGATCCCTGGGCCAGTCTTCAACAAGTACACTGGCTTCCCATCGAACATCACATTCCAACTTCTTATTTCCTACTCAGCTGGAACAGCACTCATGTACATACAACTCATAGTGCCAAAAAGCCTGTGCACCAACTGAGTTCCAGTCATGCGCACTCACTTGTTGCACCATGTGAAAGGATGAAGGCATATGGAGACAGTTCACAACTTGATGTGATGTCTTTCAAATCATGTCTCAAGTTGCACATTCTCTCCGTTGAATCATTTCATTACATATATGTATCCAAGAAACCTGTACATCGATTAGGTTTATTACACTGTACCAACATTTTGGTTATAAACACTACTATGTGCACCTGTGCAGCTTCACGACTTTGAGAGCTTTTAAGCATCATTTCTAAGAATTGCCTTACATCTTCCAAGTGTCCAGCTTCTTTTTCAGGGGGCTTCAGTTAATATGCATTGATGAAAGCATAGCCAAATTCCTTCATGTTGAAAAGGAAAAATAGTAAGGACAGCTTTGAGTTGGGTGTTAATTTAAAATGTCCCTATTGTGAATAACCTCTACAGGTGGCCTGGACTTTGATCGTTACTTTTCATTGGATGGTTTCATCACTGGTACTACGCTGCTCCACTGCACATCATTCTTTAGTAACTACAGTGAGAGAGCTGGTTCTCAGCAATACGCGACCTCCCCGGCTGTCAGACAAGGGACAGGAGATGTCTACAATCTGTTGGTCATCGGGTTCTTGATTACACCCCGAACCTTCGGGGCCCGCATTCGACTCAGCAGTGAGGAATTGTGCCTCTGGGAGAGCAACAGTACCTCAGGGAATTTGGCGGCAGTTGGAGCAGCTAGCAATGCCGACAAAATCATGCAACAAAAACAACTCCAGAGGTTTAGCCAAGAGAAATTAACGTTTGACCTCATAATAGACAATGAGGTTCCATGTCCCAAGGATTGGCACCCGACAAAATTCTCGCCAACATGTGGGCGGGGGAGTCGGGCTCATCTAACTCTAGGGACGGGGAAGGACATCGAAGCACAGCAGACGGGCTCAGACCTGAATATGATCATCCTGAAGGAGCTGGAAGCAGTTGCTAAGAAAGAGGATATCTTGACTCTCCGTCTGGAAAGTGGAACAGTCCGTTGCTATGGAGAAGGCAACTGGGCTGTGTATCTAGACAAGCCATTCGAAATTGGTGCCTTGTTTACTGGATGGTACTAAATACAAAAAGTGCATAAGTGTAAAGGCCACAGGGTTGCTTGAGTAACTTCTACATGTATATGTAACTTGCACTGGTAACAAGTCATAGATATAAGTCAAATCAAGTCACAAGTCAAAGCTGATAGTTGCAGAAGCGAAACACAAAAATAGCAACTGGAGTCCAACTTGAGTCCAAGTCACATGCAGTGACGCCTTGCAGAAATGCTTTGCTTAACACATTTCAGCTGAAGTATGAACTTGCTGCTGTCGCTGGTCGACTTGAAGATTGGAATCAAATTTACAAGGGTCCCATGGCTTGGACAAAATGGAAAGGACGTGGAATTTTATTTTCTGTTTCCAGGCCTGGAAAAGTCGTGGAAACGTACTAAAAAAAAACAACAGATGCTATGGAACAGTCACAGAATTTTGTGAGGACCAAATCATTTTGAATTTAAAACATGATATACGTGTACGTTCAATGGGAAGCTAATTTTTGTGTTTGACAAAATGCAACAAATGTTGACTTTTTACACAAACTTTACAGTTGAGCTAGGTCATGGATATTTTATGTGGTCCTTGAAGGGTCATGAATTAGTCATAGGTACAAATATCCTAAAGATGGAGTAACACCCTGGTTTGGTTCTGCAGTTTGTCTAAACTTTGGGATTTAGTTTAGCAGCAATTTCAAGCGTAACAGGAACCATTATTGTATAAAACATGCTCCCACACTAGTTAATTAATTGTGGGTAAATATGGACCAATTGTATATTGTTCTACATTGGATTGCAAGTATTCTGCACCATTTTCCTCTTCAATTTTTGTGTCATTTTGGAATATGCCAATATGGCCTTTTTATCACTTTATTACTCATCGGCTACAAGGGATGTGTAACAGTACATTACAAAAAAAGTCTTTTTCTAGGTAAAAGTGATGAGCCAAAGTTTCTAAAGAAAGCTAATTTATTTGAGACATGGTCTCACCCCCCCCCCATCCAAAAGGGGGGAAAACACATTTTCTAAAAATAAGGAGAACCTTAAAGGCAATTTGGGGGGCTTTTTCACTTCCCTTGCATCAAGAAGCATGTAAAATGCCCCCAAATATAGCCTCATCCCTTAGGAGAACCATACGGGGTAAAGTAAATAAGACATTTGGTTATGGACCCGCTGGCGGGAGAGGAGCTGATGGTGCCCATGTCATGATCTTGAGGCAAGACAACTATTGGTCAGCATCCGACATCACTGTTCATACTCCTTGCCCTTCAGACTTCTGTGATGATACAACTTTTCCTTGGACTGGCTGAATTTTTTTGTTTCCCCGTTCTTCTGACATGCTATTACAGATTAAAAAATATTGTACAAAGTCTTGTCCAACTTTGAATGTCTTCATTTTCCCCAAAAAAATTCCATCTGTATGGTGCAATGATGGCTGGCAATGTGAAACCACTGGTAAACAGTAAATTCGTCTTTAAAAAAAATATCATTTTCCAGATCTCTGTGGCAAGCAACTGTTCAACTATGATGTCATAAAGGTTGATACATAGACAGCACATTTAGATAAAGACACTGCTGTCATTCTTCATATATGTGTACATGTACATTGTATCACATTTACTTATACCTGATACAATATCTCGGTCCCTTCTTGCTTTTCAAAGTAGCCCACCTACATGTACATGTATCCAGTTGGCCCTTGCTATAGAGTTACAGACACTGATCTCTATACACTGGATAGGCAGCTCAGCAGTAACTGCCTATGTGTGAATTGAAGTGACCGCATGGCCATCTTACGATATTCAATACAATGGCCTCCAACTTCAGTCCATTCACTAAGTGCATTGATGCACAGCGTTACAAGCCTAATAGCCTCAGATGAGCACGCAGTTGCTTCAGTTCGCAGAGCAAAGCTGCCTATCCAGTATTTAGAGATCAGCAGTTACAGGTAATTAGGTCTTATGTAAATTTGAAGTGCTGGACTTCTCTTTATTTGTCTTAATCAGCCAGTTCCATCTTTCAGAATGGCAAGGTTGTTTGAGAACCAAGCATGTGTATTGGGTTGGCTGTTGCCATTGTAATAGGGCAGACTTTGCACACACGTAAAGCTGTTCCCAATGGCCATGGACATGCTTCATTTTGGGCATATTCTGTTTGAATACTGCATTGACATACTAGGAAATTCAATCGTACATTTTCTATGTCTGACGGAAGTGGTAGCAAAGGTTAGACAAGTTGGCATGTACTGTGTAAGATAATTTTCCACTGGAGGTGGAAAATTGAGAAACTGATCAGAAAAACAAATACATGTAGATATATTTAGCGGCTGCATGTTTTACCATAAAATTTTACTGCAAATTGTTTTCAGCAATTAACCATCCTTTTGACAAAGATTTTTTTTCCTATTATGACAATGATACAGTTCTTTCAGTTGCCATTAGCATAAGAATCTCCGAGGCCAATGAAAATTTGGAATGCTTATTGTGTGTGGCACCTGTTTTCAACTGTCACCTTGCCTACACTTTATGCAAAAGGTTGCTTGCTGTATAATTTATTTCCATAATAAGGACGATTAATTTATAAAATTATGAATGCACTAAAAGAATGACTTTGAAATTAACTTCATGGAACATGTGTTTGTACATGAAGAAATTTGATAAGAAAATCACTAGTATTTAATAATACTCCGTTGACCAATATTATTCACAATTTTAGTCTGAATTGCTGAGACCAAAGTACGTGTAGCTATTGGTAACTCATACAGTCAATGAAAAAGAATTATGATGTCCTGAATTTATTGCCTAAAGACACATAATATTTTTGTGTAACAAACAGTAAATTAAGTTGGTCTGCAATTTATAAACAGTAAATTAAGTTGGTCTGCAATACTTGCTTGTGTTTAAAGCACACGTTTATGTAAATGCAATTTCATTTAGAGAGGTACTGTGAATTCAGTTTTATCAACAAGTAGGTATTTTGGTTGAGACACAAGTCTGTATATGACATGCATACTGAGGTTTATGATCAAGAGTAGCCTGGTGCCAGTGGTGCATTGACTTACGACACGACGGTGTTAAATCTGACTACAAGGAACATGACCAAAATCATTGAGATGTTTCAATCTTCAATTGGGTTTTTCTAACTGGTATTATATTCGTATTACGCAGGAAGTGCTGCAAATATGTGAGTGCTCGCCAAAGTAGAAGGCAATCCTGACATTCAGGATACCTCCCCTAAAACTGGCCTGTCTTCAACTGACAAAAATAGTGAGAATTCAGGGTTTTTTGTGTTATCATTGTCTTCCACACAAGAATGATTAGAACAGTATCAATGTAAGAAATGAATGCTACCTAGGCTGCAACGATTGGTCTTGAACTTCAAAAAAAGCTGCAAGAAGTTGAAAAATGGATGAAACAAACAGGTGTCTGAAGGCACTGCCAACTATGGACTGCCTTTGACATTCAAGAGGCAATGTGGAAGCAGCACACTAGAGCATGTTGCATGTATATTTAAACTTGAGGAGTCGATCATGTTTTTGCAAGTCAAAGCAAATCCTTTTTGCTGGATAAGTTTGAAGCTTCGAAAATCAATCAATTCTTTGTATAATGTGAGGTCTGAAGGAGTAATTGATGGCCGTTGAGGTCATCGGAAGTTTTAAAAAGTGTTTCCCATTGCAACTAAATTTTGCTTTTATTTCTGTACTGCTTGAAAAATTAAAAAACAAACAAAAATGGTGCTCATCTGAAAAAAGTAAAAATGCAATGATGCTGTTTAAAAAGAGTATTTGGAAGTATTTTGAAATAAACTTTGGACAGTTGGGTGAACTATATTGAAATGTGACCCGAAAGATTTGATTTTCTTCTTGGGAGGAGAAGTGCTGGGTGGATAGCAGGATGTTACAAAAATAGATGAAATGTCCAAGAGATAAAGGAACAAAGGAGACTGGTCTGTGAAACTATCATTCCTGCCGTGGGTGTCATGGGGAGAGGACAAAGGGGAGAAGGCTCATGAAACACACAAATCTTAAACCACTCGCTAATTTTTGCACAATTTGTACACACTCATGAACTCATACCTCCAACCTTAATTCTAGCTCTTAATCCGCTCAGGAACAAAAGAGGGCGTGGGGTTTTTTTTGGTACTCAACGCACAGGCGTGCATTTGTAATGGAGATCAATGACTCGTTTGGCCCTACCAACAACCCCACATAACCCAAGCCTGCCTCCTACCTAACACTTGAACAGGTTACTCTGTGCATAGAAGTTGGAATGCTTTAGAAAGTGGAGTGAGAGACGCTCACAGATTTGGGCTTAAAGGAACAATTCTGCCCTTTAAGCCCAAATCTTGGGGCAATGTAAACTCCATGGCCACATATGCCTGATCCTATATTCAACAGAAAAAACCACCTCTATTTAGTGTTACACTCTTTCATATGAAGACGCTTTAAAAACAATTATACTCTTTGAGCTGTCAACAAACAATTCACTGCTTTAGCAAGTCTCAATAGAGTCCTCTTGCTAGATCTGCTACTGTCTATCTGTGGTAGTAAGCATCATGCCAAATCTTTCCTGATCGCTTCAGGGAACTGCAAAGAAAATAAACAGACACTTCTTGTGAAATGAAGACTTCAAGCAGTTCCTTGCGTTTCTTTTTTTAAGCAGTGGCTATGAACAATACCATCAGCATACTGCAGGTGCTTTGTAACTTGTGTTTTTTCCTAATTCAATGGAACTATGACTTTATCCATGTTACGCACTTGACCCCTGCACGCAATGGCTGCAATCACCTACCCATTTAACTTTCCGTGCACTCGTATGATTAAAGCCAATTGGGAAAAATACCCGATTACTTGTGAATCATTTAAAACCAAGAGGTCTATTGATGAACAAGGTAAATTATTTTGCCTTGCAATAGCCCAGTATTAAGGTATCAAACGTTGACAGCTAAAAGCAGTAGGTAAGAACTTACCGGACAATATCAGCCATGGCAGTGAAGAGTGGTTTAGTTTGATAGGGTATTCCATGTTTCCTACACAGGGCCTGGACATCAGGTGCTACCTTGTAGAAGTTGTGCCTTGGCATGGTGGGAAACAGGCTGAAATGGTTCAGAGATTATTCAACATGAAAAAAAGGAAAATAACAAATTATGCAGCACTTGTAATGTTGCTATTTATTGTGAGCTCCAGGGCGGATTTCACCAACAGAGGATAAATAAGGACAAGAGGAAATCGTGGCTCTGTCACAGGTCATATCTAGAAGGTTAGACTAGAGGATCTAAAAAAGATAAGAACCATAAACACTGACTTAGTTTTAGCAACCCCTTTTAGGATCCACAAACATTGGTGTATTAATTGTTGCTTAACTCACTGAAAAGGAAACCGGGAGCCATTGTATAATTTTACAATACGAGTACAATAAGCCAAGGTCACTTTAGTCAATGATAAGATCAAGCTAGGAAACTGGCAATCTTGGCCAAAATAGTTTGCACGTGTCAGAGTAAGCATACCCTCCCCAGGTCCCCCCACTCCAGTTATCTTGAGCTCTCAGTGGTGTTCAGATAACACTGACTGGGGGCAGGGGTTACCTTGCCAGATTTTGCCGGGACCTGCTCAAAATGTATGTCACTGCAGTACCGGAGTCAACCTCCAATTCTGTGCCTCAAGATCCCTAAAATTGCTAGAAGTTTTGGGTTTCATATGAGAGTGATCGGGTGTCACACTGACCCTTCCTGCACTACCACTACAGCACTGGTATCCGAGAAAAATGTGTCAACTAGGTACAACCGAGTTTCTTCTAACGGCACTTAGGACAAAGTTCACAAAGTTTTCTGAACTCGGCTTCTGCTCCAGCGAGCCTTTTCTCTATTTTTTCCAGTTTGTCTTTTTGTCTGTATTTTTGGCCTTTTGGGGGCGGTGGAGGGTGCTGCCTTTGCAGGTTTTGTGATTTGGGGGATTTTGCTTGGGATGGTCGTTCGTTTCTGGGTTTTGGTTTTGGTTTGTCTTTGTTTCAACTCGATGTATTGATATATTCTGTGCGATATGTTGAATTTGAACTGAAACCCATCAGATCACACAGGGAGTGAGTGATGATGATCTTACTGGTGTTCAATCTGGTAGTTGAGGTGGCCGGTGAACCAGCTATTGAACCATGAAGGCTCCACATTGCAGGTAGCCTGCAGCTGCATTGGTAACCACTCCTTATGCTTGTCACTGTCTATCTCCATTGGGATGTGGTTCATCTGTGTCACCCACACAAACCAATGGCTCTCCATAAATCTACACACAGAGCAAATAATCATGGATTGAAAGTGACATACAGGGCATTTCAAACACTTACAAACAGTATAGCTTAGGCCTATGGCTACAAAACATGATACTTTTAACTCGGACACCACAAACACGGAACCATTGGGGTCATGTGTACAATATTTGCATATTTAACATGTCCATCTCTCACGTCCAGGGCCTTACCTTTGTTGACACATCCTCCGGGATAACACACCAAAATCTGGTGTTCTATCCACCAAATATCCCGTTTTTAACATTTCCACCACAAGCACAAGCAGAGGAATGCACTCTTTAACTGTATACTTTGTCAGAAAATGGTAATTTTTAAGAGGTCTTCCATTGAACAGTGATTTTTTTTCTTTTTTTGTATAGCACCTGGCTGACAAAGTTACAAAAAGTCTGTTGTTACCTGATAAACATATAGAGCCAGAAAGTACCAGACAAGCCTAGAAGGGGCCCATAAGTCAAAAACAACTTGCCAAAAAAGAAGACCATCCAAGCCAAGTCCTGGTAAATAGAAAACAGATGGGGAAGGGTAGTTAACAGGAAGTTACCTTGGAATAACCAATAACTACATATAAAGCTTACAGGCAAATGCGTGCCATTTGCAACTGTAGGCTAGCTGTCTACCTGACAGCATGTTCTTTAGTACAAACCTTTTACAAATGGTGCACCATGCACGATCAGTTACAGTTCTGTGTACATTTCACTGAAACTGTGTTGAGACAACCACGTGTGAACATCAGTCTTGATGTGGGTATGGGTCCCCAGAAGCATAGTCACTTTTTAACCCTGAGAAAGCATCGGCAGCAGAAGTGGGGCCAATTCCTCCCTCGCAGGACCAGGAGAGCATGGCCTCTTACTTTTGCTGGGGCCTTTAATGGGACAGGGCTCAATACCGGTTGCTAATGCCTGATACCTCACAACTATACCATAATCTCCACTTTGAAAATCATTCTGCTGTCCTTGCTAACAAGTGGCCAACACAGTGCTTTTGATGGTTGATGGGCACATCATAACTCATTCCAGTGAAGCGAGTGCCAGTGAGTTTTAAGAGTAATTGATACGTGACCAGTGCCCCCCCCACATTTTTTTCAAAAATTTGAAGTTCCAACACTTCAGAAGCAGTTATACGTACTTTCTTTTGAGACTGAGGATTCCTTTACAGATGAAAATATTTTGGACAATCATTCTTGAAGACTATCCCCATTTCGGAACTCCAGACCATTCCCCCCAACTCCAAACAGTGGATGATCACCATTCATTTGTGTAACTGTATGCTTACACAGCCAATCAGAATGAAGCTTCAGAACAATTTTCCAATGCATCACTTGTTTGTTCCACGGATATGACATCCCATAAATCAGTTTCCAATTATGGGTGAATGTGTTTTGTTTTAGGATTTATTTCTAGGTTTTTGGGCTGAGTTAGGTTTGGGTGTGAATTGAGGGCTGGGTTTTGGTCAGATAACATAAGATGGGTTACTTTCGGTTGGTTAATTGCATCCAGTTGGTTGGTTGTTTTTTGCTTGTTGGGGTGTTTGTTTTTTTCTAAATTTTTTTAATATACTACCATGAACTTACAATCCAAATTTTCTTCTTTATCACATGGGCAAAATACTCGTAGTGAAAGTAGACAGGCAACAGCAATGGTGGTAAAACTGTCAGATAATAAAAAAGGAGGAAATTCACAATGAGTTCCTGTGATATGTGATGTATTCCGTCCATGTTAGATGATTTTGGAATGGACTTGAAGTGCAGAGATGAACAAAATGGGCATTGTATTATATTCCAACTATAACAGCCATTTCAGTTTGAGGTGTTTTTTTCTAATTTGCCAAATACAAGCAATTCATTTCCAGGTAAGCACTTTTCCAGTAAAGTCATACCATGGTGTACAATCCCTAATCCTGTTTTCAGCCAGTGTCTGACATTGTGGCCAGTTAAATGCTAATCCTTAAAATACCCAGACCTGACTCATCATACTAATCTGATAACACTAGTTCAAATAACCACGGGATAACACCGCAGAAGGTTTATAGCCGATTGGCAAATAAACTGTCTCAAATGAATAGATTCACAGAGCTAATGGGATTATTGTGTTGTAAGTTTACAGAGGTCAATTTTCACAAGGAATGACATAAGGCAAGTACCTGGCTAGCTTATAATTCATTTGCCGGCAAACAAGTATGGACTAGGCTCAGATACACCTCCTGTGTATGATGGTTTTAATTGCAATAAATTGGTGTAGAGTGTGCATGACTGATTTTCATACGTGAATGTTGACATATCCAAACAAAATCTTCCATTGGGTGTATGGCACACGGATACAATGACATTCCCATAACAACAGCCAAAAAGGGGCCATCCCACCCCCAAAAGGGACACATTTTTTAATTTGAGGAATGATTTGAGAGAGCAAATTTTTTGGGACGATTTCCTCTCCATTACTTCCCAAAGTGTGCAAACTCCCTAAATGTAGCCTCCCTTCTGAGACAGATTATAACAGGTTACATAAAACTTCCCAAGTTTTTTGCATCTGACCCCCTCCCACAAAAATTGTTCAGGATCAATCCTTGTGAGGGAATGGAATTGCTTGACAGTCCACTGGAGAACACCTGGAATTCTTAATGCACTTTGAATGCTGCAGTGAGGTTGTTTGCTATGATGCATGGAAGTTTTCTCTCAGAATGGCCAAATTAAAGTAACACCCCTAATGGAAATGTGTGCCTAAATCAATGCACCCAAAACTGGACAATGCTGGTTCTTGCTGTAAAAAAACACAGTGTCAGAAAGTTGATCATGTTGGAAGGAACCAGACTGTTCAAGCTTTGAGAAACTACCCAGGTTGCCTGTACTGAGGAAGAGACATATACTCACTGAAAAAGAAGTAGCTTTGCTGGTAGTTATATGGCATGAAGCCCTTCTTCCTATTGGCCCAGCGCACTGGCATCTTGTCACCGAGCATGAAGAGGTACTCCATCCTGATGTCTGGATCCTTGAAGACAATGTTGGGCTTGGCATGGTGCTGGAAATGACGGTAGTTCCACCAATGGGCCGAGGAACCCTATGATGTGGACAGTGTGGACGCAACAAAGCCCAAAGTTAAGCACCAGCTCATACTTCATTTGAGAAAGCCAAGCGAGTTTTATGTCATGAAACATTTGTTGCAAAATTTGGGTGAATTGAAACGAGTTCAACTTGACTTTCTGAAATCAGATGTCACAAATTCGCATTTGTGTTCTCCTTTGCCTCAGCATTTAACGTGGACCAACCCCACAAATCAATTTCAAATTGTGCCATGCAAAAATGGGTAGACGAGACTCTGTAAAGGAAACAAGGGTATTTTTCACTTTTGCCATTTCTGTTATTATTTGGTACAAGTCAATGAGCTGTGGCTACTGTCATATGTGTCACCAGGATTTCCTCGGGGGGTGGGGGAAGCACTCAGTAGCAGCAAACTGCTTGAAGTGGAAAGGGGTCGATTCCGAGATATTTCCAAGCAAATTGGTGATGAGCAAAAGGGGATGCCCTTTCCTCCTTTTTTGTCTCTTTTGTTTTTTTCTCTTTTTTGGCATTTGTTATTTCAGCATTTTTTTCAAGGGAGGCACTGTTTTGTTTAGCATAACAGTGTTTGTTATAGTAATTCCAACTGTAGCTTGGATATTGCTTGAAAAACATAGCTTATGAAAGGAAAAGCATCAATTGTCCACATTTTTAGCCCAACCTACTATGTAACATGATGTACACTTCTCTATTGCCAATTAGTGTGTCCAAACTTTTGACACATTAGATTGTCCAATCATGGTTCTGACTGATTAAAGCATATGACAAGGCAAGTCTTACTGAACCTGTCAAGTATTTCAAAGAATATACCTTTAATCCACCAAGGATAAAGCCGTGAAGTAAATGATTCCAGCGAGACTTTTTGAAGACAGTGAGATGACCCAGATCATGCTGAAACCAGCCTGCTTGACCCTGAAAATTTAACAATGAACAAAACAAGCCAGCAAATCTTAGCTTTTGTACCTAATATTGAATTTTCTGTCAGGGAAATTTAAAATGTTAAATTGAACCCATGGCCCAGGGTTCCAAACTGAAGCACTTTGACCAAAGAAAATTTGAAACCGTCCATCTATCCATCTACCTGTGCAAGAAGTAAGAGAACAGAAGCCGTCAGGTATGGCACCCATCCCGTCCCATAATACCACAAGACAAACCAGCCTAACACTTCAAAGGCAAGGATGTGGGCCATCACAGCTGCAAAGAACCATGGGTTGGTTTCCAAGAGTCCTCTCTGCTCCACCTTGAGACGGAGAGCCTGCATGTCAGTGACAAAGGACTTCTGCAGGAGGGGAAGGACAGATGAAGGGAAGAAAAGAAAAGGTTCGGTTTGATGATGTTGCTAAGTGCATTCACTTTTTGCCCATGTTTACCAACAACTCCTTGCATGGGTGTCACCAGGATTTTTCTACGCATAGGGGGAGGGGAAGACGTTTCGAGGGGGGGGAGCACTCATCACCAGCATGTGATATTAAAACTATCCAGGGTGAAAGGTTATGCTGAAACTATGAAAACTTAATTTCAAACTAGGTTTTGCCCTTACACTGATGTATGTATTCACATTTGATTCTCACATTTTAAGCTTGTTCGGGTGGGATTTGAGCGCAGGACTTCCTGCTTACTAGTGGAGATGTCCCTGTCCCTATTTTGCTGGGATTGGAGGCTGGCTCGAATCCCATGTAGCAGTGGATATCACAAGCAGTCAATGTTAGTAGTCAAATGTTGGATCAGTGGAAATCTATTTTAGTAAAAGGGCAAAACCTAGTATAATATTTTTCTTTTCCCTTTTTTTCTCTTCATTATCTTGAAGGGGAGCAAGTGACCCCTTTGCTCCCCTCCCCCCACAATGCCTCAAGCAAGCCTATTCAACCACTCAAACAGCTACACTGAGGGGAAAGCTTCATCAGTGACAAATAGTCAACCAATGGTCCATTTTGACTGGTAACCTATGGATTAAACATATATCGAGCATCAGTGAAAATCGACCAGTGGTTAACAAACTGCTGCTGATCAAACTCGGCCCAGGTTTTTGATAAAGATAAAACACTGAATTTTCAGTAAGTTTGAATACCTCATTAAGTAATGAGATCTTCATTCAGTCTGCACTTTTATCAATATAACAAATGGAGACTTCTTTACAGCAAAAGTACTGAACAATGACAAAGTTACAAGTGATAATCAGATGCATAGTCTTTCCCATCAATTTGCAAACACTTGAGAAAAGTATAGTTGACTTGCATTGACACTTTGTTTCTCTACAACTTTCGTCATTCTTTCTATTTCTTTAAGCCTAATAATTTCAAACATTCTCCTTTATCAAAAGTTTCTGCAACATTTTCACTTCGGATGACTTCATTCACAATTTCAATCAGAACGTGACAAAACCATTGGGTCATAGGTTTATATACAACACACTCTATATTGTCTGTTACAAAGGATTACTTTGGAATGAAAGGACTGATGATTATTACAGGAAAAAAAACGGTACAAATGGAAGTCAACTGTATTCTGCTCAAGTGTATGTCAACTTTTGGTCAGGACTCTACAAACATAAAAAGAATAAAAATTAGAAAACAAACTGACTAGGTGCTCTTTAATCTGTGACTTGTCAATCTCTGTCCCTCATTAAACTTGTGAACTGACAAAGTTCACAAGTTCATGATAATTCCCCAAAAGGTCCAATGATTTTAAGATGGTAACAACCCTGGCCACCATTAATAACCCCCGTTTGTATTTCGTTCATGAACAGTATTAATGTATGAAAAGAAAGGTTCAAGGTTTAATTGGTTTGAACCAATAAAATGTAATTTACAAACTGCAGGTTGGTCCAAGGTTCCAAATTATGGCAAAATGCCAATGCATTTTAAAAGGAACATCACATTTGAAAGTCAAAAGAACAACTGTTACTGTAATTTTAACTACAGTAACAGTTACAATTTCTACAATTACATGTGTTAAGCAGTTATCCTCTAGGTGGCCAGAAACTGAAAAGTTTTTTTAAAGACTCTTAATGTCAATCAAAATAAAATAGAAATAAATTATATTACATTTTGACTTCTGACAAAATCCACTGATACATGGAAACAAACAGACTTCCACAAATCAAAGGGTCTTAAAACAAGACTTTTGTCCATCTCGGGTCAACTTCAACACCAGCTGAATGGAAGCATGATTTGCGTATTACTCAGGACTGGTTCCCAGCAGTTAGCCGATATTCTCAGCTAGGACACTGTTTATGGTTAAAATCTATGTAAAAACTGGCAATGTTGTTATCAAGTTATTTTCTAAAAGTCAAGCCAAACACGAACTGAAATGATAGCATGACAAAGTTTGATGAAGTTCCCAGACACTCCAGGCAGTGTACTTATTCAGTCATAATGATACAGGAGAGTGGCCACCTGCTGCGCAGTGTGTTAGTGCGCACGGTGCAATATAGTTCCTCGCTTCATATTACATCAACTATTCCCAAGTCAAGTCACATCTTTTCTTCACGGATCGAGAAAAACGTAAAGTCCTGAGTCCCAAGACATTTTTCAAGCCTATGTGAAATGACATCTATGCTTTGCAAAACAGGTCAAACCACTTCTGTGTGGTATTACTTTGATGTTGATTTTGTATGATTTTGATGTCTTTTGGGCAACTACATTTGTAAGTAATTGTAATTTTATATATGTTAATTTGTTTTGAACTATTGTGCAGCAAGTTGACATCTTTTTGTAAATGTAAAGGGCTTTAAATATTTCATTATTACTATTGTTATTATCATTATTATTTTTAACCCATCTGCCTACTTTCAACTATGGATAGTGACATTTCTAATGATAAAAAAAAACAACCAGATAATGAAAACAGACAGGCTTGTTTTGCACATAAAGTCATCACTACTTTTATTTTATTTATTTGAACAAAAGTTGTTATAGTGAAAAGTCAACGTTATGGAGCAAGTCTCGAGCCATTTTCTCCCAAGCCAAGTTAATAGTCTTATTCTTTCCGAGCCAAATCAAGCCTAAGTCAGCACTGCAGGTCAACAACACTGATCTCAACCTACCTTGGGTTGGTTGTCTTGTTCTAGCGAGCCGATATACAATGGCTTCAAGTATTTTCTGACCAGGTTCTTGTCAGGGTGAAAAGCAACAAATGCTTCCTGAGAAAAATGGACATATGCAGGCAAACAATTTTAAATCATCATAGTTCATTTATAATAAATTGGTTAAAATGTAGCTCTTCGATGACACAGTGCTACAGAACAAGCACCACTTGCTCAGAATTTCCTAGGAGCTTGTAAGAAAACCTGCCTTAAGCTTGCTTGACATGCCTTTTTTAATGCAAGCTGGCAAAATGCACTTTACTAACCTCATTTCAACTTCAAAGATATATTTGGGTACTTTGGTGCCTTTTTGATTTTTGTGCCAAGGCTAATTTCAATAAATTTCAATATTCATGCACAAAACTGTGATATTGATTTGGTGATAACAACATCCACATGTGTGGGGTGACAGGTAATGTGCAATGAGGATCCCAGTAGAGCAGTTGAAAGGAGAAAGCAGCTGTATTAATTTCATGTCAATTCATTAAAAGAATATATTCATATGCATATGCACGTATTGCTTCACAGCCTTAGCTCCCTGCCTGTACGCAAAGTATAAGCAGTGTCAACCCCCCCCCACATGGACTGCCCTTTATGGATGGCCCCTTGCTGGAGTTGGCTGCCAGATCTAAAACATGGTGATCCAAAGTAATGAAATTCGAGAGGACAATTGGGACTCATTTTGTTAGTAAGGCACTTGCCCAGGTCAGACACTGCAGGTTCGAACCTCACTCTGGTCCATTTTCTTTGATATGAATGAACTTCTACAGAATCTCTAACTTACAGTGGCATCTTCCCCAGCATAGTGGGATAGCACTTTGAATCCCCCTGGGTGTCGTTTCACCCACTGGGAGACATCATACACTCCACCCTCAATCACAACCCATTTGTCTGTCTGTGTGCTGTGCTGACGGACTTCATCCCAAGTGTAGGTGCTCTGCTTGCTGACCCTCATGGAAGTCTGACGTTCTTGGCCTTTACCCATGATGCAAAGATGTCACTGCAGGACACGGGCACAGTAAAATCAAGTCATCATTCTTTGACTGAGTTCTTGTCTCTGTGTGCATCCTCTTCAACCCTGCACACTTTCACTTTAAATTTTCTTTGAAGCAAAAAATCTGAGTTGCTATAAGATATTTCTTTCCTCGCCTTCTACCTCTGGGGGCCTGGGTTCAAATCCAGCTAGGTCCACATGTAGATTGGGTTTTCAGTCCCTACCTGAGTCAGTGGGGTTTCCCCAAAACATACATCCAGGATTTTCCTCCCAACTCTAAAAATGAATATTTGTTCATTGTGTTCTTCACTCATTATATCATCCTGTAATTGGTGCTAAATGTGCTGCTGGACGAACAGCACATTTAGTTGTTTTGTCTGTTTTAACAGACAGTTCTATTAGCATTAGACAGTGGACATTTGGGCAGTTCACGATTCTTGTTCAGTCATAGGTATAATTGTGTCAGACTGTCATTTCTTACTTTATTGTGCGCGTGTATGGAGGGGCTTGTGGGATACCGGAACAATGGGAAGTACCCCATAAGGTACTTGTGGGGTACTGAGAAATAGATAATTTTAAATTTACTCAAAAAGGAGGAATTTTGAAGTACCATTTATTTGTCACAGAATGAAGTATTTCAAATAAGGGACGTTCAGTCGAATTTCCAAAGTAGGAAAGAGAATTTGGTTTAAATTGGAGTGATTTGAAATTTTCTGCATGTTGTGAGGGAGTTTTGTACACAAGAACAAAGGAAATACCCCACAAGTATAGCTGTGTAAGGATGGGTGTGGATGTATGTGGTTATTTACAGTTCAGCGTTTTCTCCATTTGCCAACAGGGAAGGGAGCGAGGATTTTTCGTGGAGCGTGCGTACCCCACGCACCCCCCCCCCCTCGGCCCCACTAAGCCGCTGCTGGAAAGGTTGTGTGCACCGGTGGCCTATTCCTCCGTGATGGTACACAGCACAGAAACAGGACACACGAGTACAGAAAACTCCAACCAAGCTACCGGAATGGTCCCTTCCCAACCTCTCCTCAATGGTGACGCTCTAGTGGTTCCATTACAATTAGGCTACATGCCAACAAAATGACAACTAGATTGAAATTCAGCGGCGTAGTCACAATTAACAATGTCAACAATCGTCACTAGACTGTAAGCGACACATTTGTTGGGATTGTGTATATCTATAACTTGATGTCAATTCACGGTGGGCGCAACTTACCGTCATCAGCTGATATTTAGCCTACAGAAGTTCCAATAAACACACAAAATCGACAGAGAAGAACCTTCTCTTGTCGCCAGGTCGGACTCTGTAACGAACAGATGCCACCACGCGTGTCCAGTTTTCATTCAAGGACACGTGCACTCGGGCAACGCATGCATAGATGACCGAAGAAAATCACGCCATAGTGGGTCACATGACTGTCATTTTGAGCTCTAAAAAGTCTGAAGTATCGTCCGTTGTCGTCCGGCTAACAACGGACCATGGTCAGTCAAATGGTCATCCGATAAAAACAAACTGTAGTCCCGCACGAGGACAGCTGGAAATATTAAAGGACGAGAAACACCGGGCATCACGGCCTTGCATATCATCTGGGATTGCATTGGTTGCTATTAAGTGTGTCTTCGGGTAGGGCCTATAGGGTGTGATTAACGTGCACTGTCTCTGTTAAAGCGCGCGACCAGCTTTTGAGTGAGGATACAAATGATGCTCAGACGTTTGCCTACCAAAGCAGTCGATTTTCACGTCTTTGCACCCCCCAAGAAAATAAAATGACCGAGAGTACCACCGAAGCCCCTTAGTTAACCATTGCCCAAGGTACTTTTGTAAGGTATTTGGCGTAAATTTGACAACTTTTTTGCTGGGCCAGTGACAACTGCATATTTTAAGTTAAAAAAAATTACTCCCGATGAGGCGTTTGTGCGACCGATCATGTCCGAAATTCGAAGTTCTAACGCCCCATACCAGTTAGTAGTGGGTCTAGGTCTGGAGATTGTGAGTCTTTAGAACCCGGTTCAAGTGTCTAATGCCAATCGCCACGGCCGTGAGGTTAATTGATAAGCCCTATATTCAAACATTTATTTCTATTGAGGGCCGCAAACAGGGTCGACGGTCAACAAAAAGGTTTGGGGTGACAGAGACCCATTCGTGATAAAAAGATCAGGATGATGATGTTCTGAGACGAGGATTGGGAAAGGGTTGGACGACCTATGCGGGTATCCATCACGTGCCTTGCTACTCAACATGCTCAACCCCGCAAAGTCATGCAATACAGTGCTTGAGAAGATACCGCCCAATGTGAAGCCCCATTGGAGTCACTTTCCCTATGTGATGTGTGTTTCGCAAGGAGGCAAATGTCTTGGCAAATGTAAGTTGCCGAAGCAAGATAACTTGGCCAGAAGCAAGATAATAAGTTTCCGAAGCAAGATGATAAGTGCTAATAGGGGCCTATATATAATAAGTTCTTATTATGTACATGTATATATAATAAGTGCTTATTATCTTGCTTCGGCCACTTGCTGATTCATTTGCCTCCTTGTGAAAAACACATCACAAAGGGAAGGTGACACCAGTGGGGCTTCATTGCCCAAAAACATTAGTTTTTTAGGGGGAAAAGAGCTAATAAATGCGTTTGCAGTGCACGGTGTTAGAACATGGGACTAATATATAGTGCACTTACAGCCTTACTAGGTAGCAACACCAAAATGGGCATTGCACAATAAAACCACGCTCACCCAGTGTCCTTGGGGTTTTGTTTACACCAAGGGCACAGGTCTACAAAGAGTATGATGTCGGGCAACAATTTACACAATGTGAGGGCCCCTGAAAGTTCCGAAAAGTTCGATTGCCTACAAGGGACAAAGACGTAACTTGCTCCGGCATTGCAGGATACTACCGCTATTCTGCAAGGGAGACTAAGCAGACCCACTCTTTATTGTAGAACTTTTTTCACTGCGGGTTCTCTAAAAAAGTTTCTGTTGGGGACAACTGACGGGTGGCATCTGACCAACAGCAGAAGAGATCAAACTCAAATGCATGTTCCCACTCATCAGCACTGTAAAATCTGGCTAAATTTGCACTACGCAGAAGACATGCTTGGAGAATGTTGACATCCGATATTTAATTATATTGAACCATCAGCTTACGGATAATTTTACCCCAGATAATTGCAAATAGCCGAACTTTTTAATAGACATTTCGCTGAAGATCAAGAAATCAAAATTCACACAATTTTTTTGGATAGGCCCTACTAAAAGCTAGAAAATGAAAACAACTGCAATTTCTTACATATGGTTATCTCTAAGCCCAAAGGCAACTTGTTTGACGTACTATTTAAAATGGGAATGGTCCTCAGTTATCTTTGCAAATGAAATATGATTCCTCACATTCCATTATTAGGCCTATAAGAGTACTATCATATCATAAACATATTAAAATGAAGTTGTATTATCGTTGTTGACCTTTTATCTCACGAGTAAGAGAGTCAATCTCTTTCACCAGCTTATTTAAAGGCAACAGACACTGATTTTATAAGTGAGCAATTCTACGAAAGCTCACTATTCCCATCAAGTATACATTTTCAAACAGTGGCATATATTTTTCAAAGTTTGTTTTTATGGAACACATTTTCTTTCCAATTTGTGATACTGCTTTGTTTTGAAATTTGTTTTATATCTATCTTAAATTCGTCTATAAACGAACCTGGAATAATTAATGTATCTCATAAACACATTTTTTTTCACAGCAGCAGTATTTCTGAGCATAAATCCTGTGACTTCATTGTTCAGAGAAATTTCCAAGTTCGTTTTTGCAAGATATATTATGTTCGTTTGCTTTTACATGGTCTATTAATAGAAAAATGTATGGGGGGGACACAAATAGTTTTATGAAACATACTTTGTCAAAGTTCGTTTTTTATGAAACAAACAGGTTTTGTTGGTGTTTGTTCTAATGCAAAAACACACTGGAATATAAAAATAAACTCGGAAAAATATGTCTCATAAAAATGAAGTTGGAAAAACATATTTTGTAAGAACGATTTGTTTGTGCAGTAGAAATAATGTTTCTAGAAATAAGTCATAAAAACGAACTGGGAAATATTTATCTTGCAAATGCAAGCTTTAGAAAAAAAATTCTCATAAAATTGAAGTCGGAAAAACGAAATATAATAGAAACTTGGAGAAATATGTGTACTTAAATTTATGACACTACTGGGCTTTCGTACAAGTTCATGGCTACTTGTGCAACATTTGCTTTGGTATAAGGTTGTTTTATCAGATAACAGAACACAAGGAGTAGATAAGGTAATTTGCTGAATGATACTGATGCAAAGTTGCCGAAAAAAGTCATTCACTTCAGAGGCATGCCAGAATTAGGCATGAATTTAACTCAACAACTTCCGATCAAAATTGCAGTAAACGGAACAACTAAACTTATTCACTGGAAGCTATTTTAGGTTGTCCTCTTAAGATTACATTATTATCTTGAGATTATGTTATCTTGTTTTATTCAATGCACTATGTTAACTTGAGTGGTGCCAGACTATTTGGGTTCCAATTCTCACTTTTATTTTTCAAATGTGGCTTAAAAAGTAAGGTATAATTGATGACGTTTTCAATTATTTATCAGCATAAACTTGTGCTGATTTCATAATTAACTTTTATACTTTTATTTCAAACTCTCAGGTTCCCCAACTGAAAAATTAATCTTGATTTCGATTCGGTATTGATTACTGAATTGTAAATATACTCTCTTCAGGTTATGCTCTGAATATCTGAAGCACTGAAAAACAACTTTGGGTAAGAAGAAATCAAATTTTTGCAGCATTAAAAGGCGGAAGGACAAGTCTGGTTATGCTAGCATCAAAGATTGGTATTTGCCCTCAAAGTGGAGAACTAATGGAAAATTTATTATCTCTTTTCCCTCAAACATTTTTTTAAAAATTCAAATACACTCACTGAAATGAGTGATATCTTTCTCAGTAAGAAATTGCCAGAAAAAGATCCCCTCCCCTAGAACTAAACTCTGCTAAACAGAGGCCAGAACACCAAAATTAAAAAACAAAATAAAGTAACCTAAACAAATGCTTTGCAGCATAAATCTGAATATTCTGAAGTATGCATATGCCACAAAATACACCTTTAATACTGACGGTTGGCATTAAAATGTACAGAGAACCTATTGAAAGTTACATTTCAGCTGCGATGAAACAACACAGGTATCAGCTGCTCTGTACCCAAAACATTAGTGAAAAAGAAACTTCACTCCCAACTTGCTAGAAAAAGTTTTGTATCTAGCTACAGGTCAGATCAATGGATTGTACTCATTACATTGATTTTTGAGAGAGAAATTTGCATATAGCAACTCCAGTGATACATTGAGTTTGATTTTTCAAGCAAGGTCTGTTGAAGCGCTCTGAAATAAGCCAGTTGGAGTAAGCTGGATTACAAAGATATCTTCTTATTTGTTGATTCTGGTTTCAAGTACTGGTATTATGCATCTAGTATTTAGAACTTCTGTTGTCTGTATCTATATATCATCATTTACAATTTCAGTAGCGGCATTAACCTGAACACTCCTCAATATCAACATAATTCTCCACATATCCTAAAGGGTTAGGGTTAATGGACTATTTCAGCAAATTCCTGACAAGCATTAACCACAATTCAAAGTAACCAAAATCCAACACCAGGTATGAAGTATTTAGCATTTTTGGACTACGTTTCAAATACATTTCTTATAACTGCACCTTTGTTTCCCAGTTAACCTTATTCTCATGAATCTTTTCAGTGAATAAATTGCGGGCTCACTATTTGGACAGGAAACTCCCGAAGTAAATTTTTTTTTCTGTAATGACATTACAACAGTGCTTTAACTTGTCCAAAATGCATGGACAACTTGAAATATTTCAAAGGAGCATTTTTAAACAAACTCTCAAAAGAAGATGTGAGATTGTTTTCTTAAATACAAAAGGATTAGCAAGTTGAACAAAACATGTTTCCTGGCACAATTTGCATGATGGACTCCTTAAATGGGCCTCAATATCCCACTTTCATCACATGCATAGAGTGTGGGCTGTGATTCTGCTGTGGATCCTGAATGTCTCAGCAGAACGTCTAGGGAATCAGAGTAGATTAAAAACTGACCCGTGTGATTTAGCACGTCACACTACCCAAGTAACTTCAGATCAAAGAAGTAATTATCCACCGAGTACTGGATATCAGTTAAGTGTGGTGGTAGGCATCATACCACAGCTGTCCAGAATGCTTCAAGGAACTGCAAAATGAAATACATGAAACTCAGTTAGGTCAAAAGAAAGAATTAAAAAGAAAAGACCTCATCTGAAGTGTTGTGACGCAGAACATTTCAAAGTGAGGGAGATGAGGTGTTGAAGTCCAGAATATTTCAGGGCAGGAGAGCTAAGGATATGAAATGCAGAATATTTCAAGAGAGAGCAACTTGCCTGTTGCAGAATATTTCATACCACACTGGTAGTAATTTGTCCTTTTTCGAAACTTCTCGTTTCAAATGTTTTACACTTACCGTACAATATCAGCAAAAGCCTGACTCAGGCTCTTAGTCTGATAGCAAATGTTGTGTTTCTCACACAATGCCTTCACATCAGGAGCAATCTTGTGCAAGTTGTGCCTTGGCATTGTGGGGAAAAGGCTGTGAGGCAGAAAGCATCAATCATTGTTAAGGGGAGAAAAGAGGTGGATGAGAATATCAGTGATGTTGACAAACTTAATGCTTCAAAATCTCTTATGAGCAATTTCAGTTATCAATTTTTGTATTTTGTTCAAACAGATGTTAAAAATGAATAATTAAAAAAACAAGTAGTGTCAATTCAGAAGACTAACATAAACAGCTTTATCTTGATCGATTTAAATTGACAATACACTTGTTGGCAGTTAATATCCTGATGAAAGTATCTACATCAACAAAAGGGGTAAACATCTTGAAGAACTACTGTGACTCCAACTGGTGGCAGAATTGGGTCCTGGCCCCCACTTTCTGCAGGATCTATAATTGAGTGGGGCTCCATGGATTGAGCTTTTAATGACTGATCCCTGATGGTTTAACAACTCCCCCCCTCCCACTTTGATAATCTTTCTGCCGCCAGTGGTGACTCCCTTCATCATCTTGTACATTTGGATGTAAGTGATATTAGTTCACACTCACTGGTGCTCAATCTGGAAATTAAGGTGCCCAGTGAACCAGTCATTGAAGAAAGATGACTCCACATCGCAGGTAGCATGTAGCTGAGCTGGCAACCATTCCTTACGCTGATCGTGATCTATCTCCATGGGGATGTGGTTCATCTGGCTCGTCCACACAAACCAGTTGCTCTCCAGGAACCTACAGACAAATTCATTGTTAGCGAATTAGCAATTGCTTGATGTCTGTCTTTGTTTGGTGCGAGGGGTTCGACTGGAGGACTTGTGATGGGTTTTTGTTGTGACAGACCCAAGCATGGCACTGATAGCTTAGATTGTGACGTACCCCAGAGGGCCTCCAGGTTTGTGAAGACTCCAACAGCTCTTCCCCAACCACATTCTTTTTAGGTGATTGGGCAAATTATTTTATGAACTTTCAAACTGGAAACATCCCTATCATTGAAGTTATTAAACATACACTTTCCAGATGATCAGTTTTCTTTCTATTTGACCTTGTGATTTAAAATACATAAACTTTTTGCAAAAATGACAAATATCAGAAAGACTTTGCAGTGACATGCATTAAAGTTCTAAGATACTGTCAAACCAGAAATCGTGTTTGTGACTAAAACAAACATGTCCTGTCTAAGTAAGATTCATTTATAACGAGAAAAAAATAAGGCTCCTAAATGCTTGTAAGGCCTCTGTAAGGCCCCTAACGAGAAAACTTGGGCAAATACAATTTCTTCTGGCTACTCTAAGCCTTTTAATTTACGCTGGCTTAGCACATGCCCCAACTAAGAAGTTTCAGGAGCAATTGAGCATGAACTTTATTGGGTTGAATACAAAGCAGTGATTCTTTTTCAGTTTGACTAGCAGGTTTATGATGCTGTCAAAACATGCAGGCACTGAAAAATGGTCAATTGAAAGATATGTATACTTGATGAGCATGTAGTTTAAGAAGACACCCCAGCCACCAAGAAGAAGACCAAAGAGCAAAGTATGTTTGACGAAGAAGACACTCATCCACGCCAGGTCCTGTGTCAAAAAACAAGAGAGGGTAATGACTGTGGGCAGTATTCACAGCAAACTGGACATTAAACAGCTAAGCTTTGTTGATGTCATATCTTCCATAGTCTGTTACAGACACAAAGATATTTGTAATTATGCCTTACAAATTTTCCCCATTTGAAAATATCCTTTCTTCAATCTATATAACACAGCATTTTGCAGCTTTTGAAAACATCCATTTCTTTGTATTTCAGAAATTGTTTGTCTCCATGTTTTTCCATTAAAATAAACATTTTCTCAGAAAATAAATATCTATTGTTTTAGCAAAATGGTAAAACAGTGGTTTTAAAGTTCGAGCCAGTGAGCAGGAGCTAACAGGGATTTCTCCTGAAAACAAATAATTCATCAGAAGAATCCTCAATTCCCTTTCCACAGAGAGGGCAAAGTACTATTTCTAAAATGTTGATGCTTTCATTTCTGTTAAAAAATGGCAAAATGTCTCAGCTGGGGAACCCCCCCCCCATATGCTACTGCGGAATACAAGTGAGTCTCGCGTTTGAATATCATTAGTTGTGCTATTTTGCCATTTTACCTGACATACAGTAACTGAGTTTACCTTCCAGAGCTTTTTCCTGATGACGTGAGCAAAATACTCATAGTGGAAATACAGGGTCATCAGAAGGGGCGGCAAGGCTGTTGAAATACATTTCAATGTTTTCAAGATTTACGGTTCATGTTCTGAACAGATGAAATTGTACAATCAGCTAGTCAATAGATATCAGCTAATTCCAAATGTAATAACTGAAAATGGGTCTAATATTTTATCTGTCACTATTACTCAAACTGTACATTTACAAAGCTCCCAATGATTAATGGGTCCATGCAGTGATTTTTTTTTACAATATTTTGGTGCAAATTTCTATTATTCTTAAATTCATGGATAAACTTTGACAATTTTTTGGTCATTTGTATAGCAAAATACACTTTGTAACAATCAAGCGCTTTCCATGCCCTTCTTGACAACTGGGCACTCCGCTACTGTGATGCACTCCAAGGAAGAAAATGTTCATTACAAGGGGTTCTATCCTCAAACTGTGAAGCAAGCTGTGATTGAAAGTCTTTTTTCTGATGACTTTCGTTACAGGAGTACTGTCGAGAAATGAAACACTACACCAAAGAGAAGAACGTCTAAAATATCAAAACTTCCGACAAATCTGGAAGCTAAAAAACCGTAATATATCCTGGAACGATCACACATTTGGTCGTGAATATGCAATTTGCTTTAGTACAAAAACCGAAAATTTTCCAAAATAGCTTTTATAATGGCAATCAATTATTGGTAATAGAATTGCATGAGACACAAAGGTTCAGGGTCAAAGATTCAATTTTAAAATTGGATTGCCTATTCCCTTCATTGTCTTAGTGCTTTTTGCTTTCCAACCTGCCTTATTCTATATCACTTAGGCTTGTTTTTAACTCTCTGTATGACTTACTAAAGAAGAAGTAGATCTGTTGGTAGTTGAACGGCAAGACGTATTTCCTTTTCTTACTGCCCCAGGTGACCGGCTGCTTGTCTCCAAGGACGAAGAGGTAAGGCATCTTGATATCGGGGTCCTTCCTGATGATGTTGGGCTTGGCGTGATGCTGGTAATGACGATAGTTCCACCAGTGGCAAGATGCACCCTAGCACGTTGTCAAGAATTTTGTGAGTGGAGAGAATGGTATAAGTGCTGAGGATGTCACTAGGATTTGATTTGGGGGGAGGGGAGGGGTTAGAGTCTTCTGCAGGAGGGCAGCACTCATCACTGGCAAACTGATAAAGTATTAATAGTTGAAGGGGTGAATTCTAAGGTATTTTCAAACAGAATTGTGATTATTATCTTCTTTCATTTTTTACTTTTGTTTCTCTCTCTTTTTTGCCCACAGTGATCGAGTATTCCTTATGATCCGGACACTTGTCTTCTCATCAACCTTTGTGAATTTGACATAAAATTGCACATTCTTGTTACTTCAACAAGATCAGAGTAATGTAGCAGCCAGGCTGTGCACGCCTTCAAGGTAAAACACATCACATGTTTGGGCTGTAATTTTTAGAAATGGATGGATTAACAGCTGATTTTGGTCTAACCTGCTTCAAAAGAGTAAAAATAAAGGAGTCATTATTAAGGCCACAATATCAAAACTGTTAAAAACCTATACGTTCCATCAAAGCATTCATACGAAAGCAAAGAAAAAATACTGTTTTAAACAATTTTACAACCAATGCACACAGCTAAAGAATGGAGCAAATGATAAAAACTAGCCATCCTGTTTTGAGTGCCCAGTTGTCAGAGGTCTGAGGAAACAACCGTTACCTACCTTAAGAGCACCTGTTACAAAGTACTGCAAGAGGTGATTCCAACGAGATTTGCGAAAGACTGAGAGATGGCCCAAGTCATGAAGAAACCATGAGGACTGGGCCTATATAAAAGGAAAGCAGAACCTCTACAAATGCTGAAACTGCAAACTACATTTCACTTTTGTGTATAATGACCTTTGTGAGTTACCCCTCTTAAGTACAATCAAACAGAGAAGGAGCTTGAATCAAAATTGATTATTTTTATAATTATTTTTATTGTGAGCATTTTAAGATTGCATTGCAGTACATTCCCATCAAATTATAAACTTTATAATTTATAGGTTAATTTAGCAGTTCTTTCATTTAGAATTGCTGGAACGAAAGTTTAATTTCGTCAAAGAGGGGTCACTTGCCCTAAATGTTAATTCCAATTTCGAAGTAACGCAGATAGATTTCACTTTCAGAGCATTGTCAGTCCCAATAAAACACACTAACTCGTCCCATTTATTGTCATTTTCGTCTCACTCTGGGAATGGCGTTGAATTGGAAAAGCAAATTTGCTTTTTGTCATCCATTTTAACGATTTAATCATTCAATTTTGTCATAGAATGTATTGAAGATGGTTTGAATTAGCAGTTATTTGGACGTCATTTTTGTTGTGATAGACAAAAAATGAATTTTAAATGAAAAAGTGCTACATTAACCAGGAAAACCTATAGTATCCACTCTGACAAGAAGGTAACCCTCAACAGCAAAGAGGATGAAATATTATACCTGTACTTACTTTGGTAACAAATTTAAAAAAGACCCTGTTTTAATTCTTCAAAATATTTACTGAAATTATTTAATTTTTGTATAATTTAAATTGTTTTTAACGACTTGTGTTATTCATTTTCAATTTGACAACAAAACAAAACCAACTTTTTGACTTTTTTGTTTAAGGGTTTGTAGTTGAAAAATGAAAAGCAACAATTTGAAAAACAAGTCTTCTCTCTTTTTCAATTTGAAAATTAAAAACAAGGAAAAAAGGTTTTCATTTTTTGATAACAAGATTTTAGCCTGCCATGGCTGAGATCAAAATCAGGAACAATTCTTAACAAGGTAAAAGGAAAAGTAACTAACAATCAATTTTCTGATATTTTGAACTAACACAACCACATCACCGAACGTATGTCATATTCAAATGGGCAAATGAAAAGTGAATAGTTTTCCTGCTTTCTTTTTGAAATAGACTATTTTTTGGAATTCCCATTTTTGATTTTTAAATTGAAAAACAAATGGATGAGTGAAGTGTATAGAACCAGAACCTTATTTCATTGAGAACCTCCATCTGGTCATTGTCTGTCATACCTGTTCAACGGTGAGTAAGACTGTGGCCAGAAGATAGGGCAACCAGCCTACTCCAAAGCACCATAGCACCGCCCATGCTAGCACCTCTGCAGCTAGGATGTGGCCCAAATGGGCAGCATAGAACCACATATTGGCTTTGAAGAGGCCCATTGCTTCAGCCTTCACACGGAGAGCCTCCATGTCTGTAACAAGTTTACTCTAAAAGTCAAAAAATGGGGAAAAAAATAATAAATTTGGGAATTTACAGCTCATGGGATTGGAGCAGTGTGTGATGTTTGACCTGATGAGAGCATCTTCTCAGATATTATTGCGTTGCATTTTTATTCGTGCCAAGTCTGTGGGTGTTTTTCCAATAATGCAGTGAAATCATTGATACACTGTACCAATTTTATTATATGAAACACACTGTTCTTGTGAAATGCCCATTTTTCCCTCAGAGGTTAGCCCAAAATGTTAACTTTTCCCATTGAAGTGCTCAATGCACATGGGTACTGGCGGCAGAAGTGGGGGGCCCAAGCAGGCCAATGCCCCTATCCCCCATTTTCTGCATGTCCCATAATGAGGTGGGGCTTAATAGATTGGCTTATTAATGGCTGATACCCGAGGGTCTCACACCTATCCCCCACTTGAAAACTAATCCACAATCATAGGGGGTTGACGTATTCGACTATGAAGACGAAAACCCTATTATACAATGAATTTAAACTTCACAAATGTACTCCTAAGGAACGTATTCATATGGATAAAAGATCCAATATCCCCCAGTTGTGAGACAGAATGAAAAAAGTTACTATTTCAGGGCTAGAAAGCAAGAGGCAGTGGCTAGTCTGACATTCCGGTGGCAAGTTCAACCTTAAAACCCACATCTATTTTGAGGAAAAGGTCGGTCAGCTTCATCTCATCATTGAACTTGGTAAACATTAGGCTGTGTTTGACCATTGTTTGAACGTACCATGTTAGCTGGGATATAGGCTTTGATCTTTTTGAATGAGCCACAAAGTTTATTGAACTTCAGCCAAACTAATTCACATCTCAAAGTTCAATGGCATTACACTCAAACTCACTTCACTTCACACAAAATAAAGAGTGTGCCATACAGCTGCATGGGTGTAAACCACTTAATTCGCAGTAGGCGCCGAGGAGAATCCAGGCAATCAAAGCCACAGTGTTAGGCCAGCCTGACATTACAATGGTACAAGTTATAGACAAAGTTTTCCTTGATCCCTTTCAAAAACAAATGTCAAATAGGAAAAACAGTAATGCATCTCATCATGTGTCCATGGAAGACAAGTATAAGGGATTTAACATGTCCCAATATTCACAGGATGCATGCTAGGCTAGCTTGTTCCTGCAACCCTTCAACCTCATTCCAAGTCTGAATTGCTTAGGATGGGCTTTTAACATGTTCTCTTTGAACCAAGTACCCACTTCCCATGCAGTTAGTAGTACTTAGCCCATGTAAAAACCTACAGCCAGACTTGTTTTGTCATTACTGAGTTCCCAGCCTGCAGACTGCACCACACCACACTGTGAAAAATTTTATTACGCTCTGCGAAAAGTAATAAACCAAAGGAAGGTTTCTGGAGGAAGTCTATGGATGCATACACAATGCACATATTTCATTTTTACTGAAAAGTTGCTTGGGGAATTTGTAAGATGACATTTGTGACAAATACAAGCAACAGAAAAAGACATGATGCCTGCAGTTTTGCTGGGTATTTTGGAGCTAGGTACTTGGCACACTGGTTCAAGACAGGGTGAATGTGAAAGCACAACAAATTGGATGTCAAGAAGTATTTCCAGCGAAGTTCACTTCACTTAAAATGCATTTGACTTTTGAGAATTCTCTGGGTGAATATTTCATTGGACACCACAAAGTTGCATTCGTGTTGGCATCTACTCTCAGTATGAAAGCAGCTTTTATTTTTCCTGTTAAGCCTGAATAGATTTGCAATATATTGAGGTTATCTTCCATGATAGAGCATTCTTCCAAGGATGAATCACATACCTTGGGTGACTTATCTTCCACAGTCCCAATACAAAGAGGCTTCATGTACTTCCTCACCAACTTCTTGTCAGGATGAAAGGCAACAAAGGCCTCCTATCGGAACAAAAATCAGATGGTGACAGTAACATTGGTGTATTGTTGCTGCATCATTTGAATGAATCTGTACGAATCCAAAATCCTGAATTTTGGACAGGTCACTGCTGTAAAGTTTGTTTACTTTGGGTGATTTGTGAAATTTAGTTTATGGCAGCAGGCCAGTGAGTGGAGGTTTCTCACAAATAGTTTTGACTTTCGGAGCAAATTTTGGGTTCACAGTGTGAACTGAAGATGCCTAAATGTGGTTCTGGTGTAACAATAATCCAACATTTCAACACATTTTAGAAGCAGAAGTAGCAAAGACTTAAGTTTCTACTTCAGATGATAATATCCATTTGCTCAAAAAATACAAATTTGCTTTGAAAACAAAAAGGTAAAACATCCTTTAAACTGGCACAACAAAAATTACAAATCAGGTTAAATAGTACCGCATAAAGGAGTATTTACCAAAATACATTTAAGAATTCACTGCCTGGACAAAAGTAAAAAATGTAGATGTAACGTTTTGTTAAAAGTGCTCAATTTCATTCAATTTTTGTTTGATTTCTGAACGAGTTCCTACTGTGAATTTTTCTTGGATACACACTTTCTTCAAAAGTCTGCTTTTCTTACAGGAAAAAGTATGATATCCCTTTTTGGTAAGACTTAATGAAGAGTGCAATTCTTGAACATTAAAAGTTGTTCCCATCAAAGGGTTTTCTCAGCAGATAAAAGTTGTACTACTGTGACGCCATTTCTGGAAGACACTGCTCAATGGGGGGGGGCAGTTGAAACTGTTAATTCAAAATCTACTCACTGAAATTTTATGACAAAACTAAACTCACATATCTCCTTTCATTTGCTGAAAAACCAACAGTTTACAACAAAAAAGAATAAAGACAACCAGGTCAAGGATGGATCCAGAACCCATTTATCAAGGCACCAAATTTTTGGGGGGCAAACATTTCAGAGGATTTTGTATGAAACCTGTTATAGCCTTTCTAGGAACACTTTGAGGCTTGTTACCAGTACATACTTTGGAAAGGTAGAGACCTGAAAAAGAGTTTAAAAAATCGCCTTTCTTTTTCTTTACTTTTAAATTGTTTTGAACTCCATTTTTGTTTGGGGGGGGATGACATTATACATCCCCAATCCACCCTTGAGCCAAGTACCCTGAAATTCTAGCGCTTAGTAGCTATAAGATGACATTATAATTTTTGTCATAAATATGCAAATTGGCATTAACAGAAATATTAAACTGGCACAAAAACGCCTCTATAAATTGCAAAATAAACTTTGAAAACAAGGTAAAATGGGACACAAAGGTGCACTCAAGAGGACTGCATGAGAAGCATGATGTAGAGAGGTGTGAAAACTTACGGTAGCATCTTCCCCTCCATAGTGAGACAGCACCTTGAATCCACCTGGGTGTTTACTCATCCAGTGAGTAACATCATACACACCATTCTCAATCACCAGCCACTTGTCGTAGCGACCGTTGTGCTTCTTGATTTCATCCCAGGTGTAGGTGATGTCCTTGCCAACTGGGGACATCACTTGACCTTGCTGACCTTTACCCATGATTCCCTGTGAGGTATATGAGTATAGCTGGTTTGTCAAGAATAACTTGATTGATAACATTTAATATCAGAATTGAAGATTCAAGAGTGTTTTTTATCAAATTTGTTTTGACATGACATAATCTTTCTATTTTCTAAATTAATAGAAAATAGATATATATAAGATATAAGATATAGATAATATAAGATATATATTTTCAAGTTTGGTTTTATATCTAGTGATAATTTAGGGCTGTGCCAAATATCCAATTAACCAAATATTTGATCGATTGTCGAATATACTAATTTTATTTTTAAAATTTGAATATTCAAATGCAAAATCCATGAAAAGGAAGGGAAAAATTTCTTTTGTTTTAAATGAGACCGTTTGCACTATGGAGGCTCTTAATTAAATCTTGCTAAATTGTGGCTGGAGATACTCCTAGATGTGAGAAGCTGTTATATTTATCATAATGTACAATTGTGTGCGTTATTGCAACTGATTTGTATATGGTTTGTTCCTCAACAATCTGCCGGTCAGTACAACCGAATAGTCAGATATTCGATCATATTGAAGGTCAAATATTTGAATAGTGAATTATTCGAATTGACTCAACCCATAAAAATCAACTTAAAAAAATAACCCCTTGAAATGATTTGTTTCCAAAAATAGAAACAATGTTTCTAAAAACTGATCCCGTAAGAACAAACTAGAGAATATGTCTTAAACAAAGAAACTTTGGAAAATTTTTTCTCATAATAATTAAGTTGACAAAAATATACTTCATAAAACGAAGTTGGAAAAAATACACATCACATCTTGAAAATATATACTTGATGGCACCACAGGGCTTTCAAACAAAACATTTTTGAAATGGAAACTATGGGGGTCATTTGAAATCCCCAGCTTTGCCAATGCAAAACCTGTTTTGCTTTTTTTTTTTAGTTTGGCGCTTTAGTTTTTTACCTCTTTGTTACTTTATTATTTATTATTTTTATGGTGTGTTATAGTAATTTGTGTCTTTTGACCAAGTTTCTCGGTCCTTAGGCCGGTCTGCAGCGCCTGCACTTTTGAAGTTTTATTTTTCCTTACTAGTTACAGTACCAAATTTTTGAATACCAGGTATCACTAAATAAAATGCCAGACACGAAGAAGTGACAAAAAAGTGTCTATCGACGGCACAATATTTTTCGGGGGGGGTGTACAATTCCATTTTATAAACATCTATTAATTATAAGTGTACTTAGTAAAGCGATTAAAAAATTAATGAAATGATTCGCTTGACTTGACTGAAAACCACTTAAATTAAAAAAAAATTAACCACTTGTTGCCGGAGAACCCCGTTTCGAGCACCATGGGTTTCGATTACGGCATCAAAAGAGCTCTACGGGGTTAGCCTCAACGAAATGTGGGAAAGAGTTCCATAAACGGCCACAGCTTGACACCCTTTGCACAAATTTAAGTGTTTTCTAAGTAAACGACTGTTTTTTTCCCTTCCAAATTGAATTTTTATGAACCGTGTTTTGCTTTCTGACGGTTAAGACAGGTCACTGCGGGGAATAATAATTACTGACGTCCGTAGCCTATATGGAACTTTTCCCGAAATGTGCATAACGATAAAGAAAAAAAATTCAAATCTTACGTCTGCAGCTCAGCGTTTGAAGAAATGTAGGCCTACTGACGAGCTGGTCCAAACTTATTGTGTACACACTTGTAATTTATCGGGATTACTACTATGGTCGCACTCGGCAATGTGTACATCTGTAATATTATTAGCGATTCAGCACGGCAATCAGCACGCGACTCGCTCGGCCACGTGGGACACTTCACTACAGACCACCAAATATCACGCCACGTCTCATCACCTGACTCGTGACAACCCCAATGCGTAGTGCACGATGAGGCGACCGCATTGCCGTGCGCGCAAATTTACAAGACTCATTTTTGTACGCATAATAAAAATGCATCTCTTTTTGTTGCCAATATGAAAGAGAAAAACTCGCAATCGCAACACTTAAAACAATAATAAAAACAGCATATAAAAAACGGCCAAATAAAATTTGCTATTGAATAAAGTGTATAGGCATGAACTTCGTTCCATAGGCCTATGCCATGAAGTACTTTCTGAAGAGTTCTCAGGGCTGTTTCAAATAGTATCCGGTAAATGTATAAATATGAATACGTGACATAATTAGTTGGGATACCTACGGGCAATAAACAGGAATACTCCCCCCCCTCCTCCCAAAAAAAAAAGAAACAAAAGATCGAACCAAACCAAGACACGTATCGGGACAGGCCAAGGGGTCCACGATGGGTAAAACGTGGGAGCGTTGCGGACGTCGGACCGGGCCCACAGTTCTGGGGGTAGGGTAAAACTAAAAACCACAGGTGACCAAAACAGAACTATTATAACTAATACTTGCCGGTTGACATTTGAAATATAAGACACAAAATGCAACGGATACAACGATCGACAGGTTGTTTAAAAGGTAGCGCTTGTTTATTGAATTTTTTCCCTCTGTAACATCTACGAGTATCACACCAAACAAGACAGATAAAAACCATGCACGTATGTCAAAATGACGAGCACCGCTCCAAACAATAAAATGACAGGGATATACCGTCGAAAAAGTCAAACTTTGTCTCATCGCACCCCACACTATGCATAAAAACTACTGTTTAGCATTCTATATGCACGTACACGTATACTTTCACCTCAACGTGTTTGTTTTCTCATGAATATCTTATGTTGCGCCCCCTTTTGTTTTAGACAGCATTACAGACCTTCCACAAAGCAAACGGCAAAATTTTTCCTGTTTATAAATTCGTTTTAATCTACTAATTTTTGAATTAAAATTTAAGACGTTTGATGTTTACTTTTTAAAATTACCTTTGTAGTTATAGCAATCACAATATAAAACACACTCATCCATAAAAAAACTTCAATTTCATTCTTTAGAAATACTTATTAAGGAGATACCAATATCATGCATAGCATTATTTCTGAACTAAAAACTGTATTAAAAAGCAATGCAGGTGCTCAATCTTCTACCACGCTCTTAAGTACATGCTATATCTAGATTAATAATGTACTTAGGCAATCAATCTGCATCAAAGCAACACAACTGGCGATACATTAAAAATTCACACAGATTCACACTTGTATTTGGTGTATATATTTTAAATTCAAGATATCCTGAGTAGTATGACGCAAATCAGCTTTTTTTTGGACAAAATTTCAAAGTACTTCACTTGCAAATTTAGCCTGAATCTGGCTAATAGTCCATATGCAGTACAGACTTCTAGTCTAAGATGCTGCCTACAAAATATTTACTTTAAAAAGTGGCAACGGTCAAGAAAGATCCATGGTAAAATTTCATTGTTTGCAAAATAAAATACATTTCAGTTCTGATTCATTACAACCCTAAAATTTGTAAACTTGAAAATGTGAGATGACAACGGACACAGTGCATTAGTGTACACCTAGTGGTAAACGTGTAGAACCTCACTGTTAAAGGGTTATTGAAAGTGCTATTTTAGTTATGCTGAGGTAAACTTATCCCAAAAGATGATGCAACAGGTTTGTAAATGCAACAGAAAAACTGGTGGTGCGTGCACGCAATCATGAGTAGGTGCATGCACACCCAATCCAGTGTGTGTGTGTGTGTAGCAGCATGGGCCTGATAACAAAAGATGTCCACACAGCTGAAAAATGGGTTTAGAGGCCTTTGGGGGTAAGGGTTATCGGTAGCAAAAGGAAGAGGAACACTCAAGGAAGCCAATTACAAAAATCCAAAAAGAGTGTACACTGCATTAAAAAAAAATTTTGCCATTATTGGAGATTTCATAATTACATTATTCATTCATATTTTGTCTTCATTTGATATCAATGAGTGGTGCGATCACACAGTCACAAATTGCATCTTAAATGCAAGATTTTTTTGGCAAATAATAACAAGAACGACGACAATAAAGCAATGACAACCGTGGAGTCCTCTACCAGAAAGTGCGCTACTTGAAAAATCATCTTACTACAAGGCGAGGCATAACACCCAGACACGAGAACAGCAAGTCACTGTAGGAGCCTGATGTTTTTAAGCATTGCACACTATGGCAAGAACAGGAAACCTTATTAGTTAAACTTCAGCTGGCTTAATTTCAATCAAAAAATCTTGTTGGGTAAATAATTCCCTAATTTTTCCCCAATATTTATATAACTGTCTTTGATTATATTCTACTATTTGTAAAGAATAAAACTATTCTTTGGTCAAAAATAAGAATGTAATATATTTCTAAAGCTGCCATGTTCTTATTTCAAATACAAAAAGTGCTATAGTGAAACTGATCAAAATCCTTCAAGTGGAATGCATATGAACAGGTGAATTTCAGTTACAAAAGAAATTCACATTTAACTAATGGCCAAAAAATCGTGCACTTACACAGAGAAAGACAAAACACATAAGAAAAACAAGAGCAAATTGCATACTTTTCAGATCTTATGCCTGTTTGAGAAGATCTGAAATAACTCTTTTTAACTTTCCAGGAAACAGAGCCATCAATTTTGAAACACTTAAATTTTCAAAAGCCATTACAAATCTTACACAATGATTCCTGGAAGACATGCTATGGGCTGCATTTAAATATGAGGAGGAACATATATCTTCCCATTACACGTAACGGTAAGTCCCACATCTGATCCCAATTTTGGTCAATTTTAACCTCCATTAGATTCCTCAACCTCAGCAGTACCCAAGGCAGATTATCTCAACCTAAATAGGATTTGAAGGACTGCATGGTGGACGTAGCAATAAGGGGAAGGTTCATGATAGCAGGTTCATGATAGCAACACGTCTCTCTTGTGAGTGGGGCTCTGAAACTGACCAGTAGACTCAATGTTTCGGACAATATACTGTCGTCAGGAGAAATGGACCCAGCCTGCCAATCAGTAGGAATATGGCCTGATTCCAAGTTCTCGCTAAGGCCAGCAAATAAGATCATGTGATATGAAGCTAAGCTTGAAATCAGATGACCTTGTCCAAGTTATTTGACAAAGGGAACGGGGCCGGATTAATTTTTTTGTGGGGGTGGGCCTAAGCACCAGCACGAACTCAGGGCCAGGCCGATTATCCAATAGGTACAACAGGCACTGTGCTACAAAAGCAAGAGGGAGCTACAAAGAATTTTAGGGATGGACTAAAATAAAGCAGTTGACCATGCAAGTCTCTGTGAAATTATTAGAACATAACTAAGTGTATTGAATGTTTACAGGACCTCTTCCATGAAGTGGCTTAGAACTACTGTACATGTACATGTATGACTAAACCTTCCTATTCCACTGCATACAAGTGTTTTAAAAGTAATGATTTTTTTTCCAGAAATGTGCCAGACATCTGCTCATTAAAATGATTACTTCACCTGGCACTCATGTATAACTGTACATACAAGTGTACAATTTACATGCAAAGGTTGTCATTCTGAAGCACATATTGCCGATCTGAGTTATTAGTTTGGCCTGATTCGCTTAGCAACAGCACCATGCAGCACTGTGAAATTGAATGTCGCCTGCTCCCAGGGTGGAGTAGGGGGCCTGTAAACTCTGGGGCCTAGGGTACTGTTAATGCAACCCTGACTCAAGGCTAGTAATCACTGAAATCTTGCATGTCATGTTTATGCCTAGGCTACTGCTGGCTACTTTAAAACTTTCCAAATGCCACCAATTCAGAGAGAGGTGATAATACATTCAAAAAGTTATGTTGTTAGTGTGTAGGTTTTGGGGTGTCCATTTACAGTAAATTGAAATGCATATGACAAAAATCCCTTCCTGTCTGAGGATAGGTATCCAAAACACAAAACTAATGGGAACTATCAGCAAAGCGTCTGGACAAAAGGCGGCAAAGGAATGATTTACACCATCTGTATAATACTCCTGTGTGGGTGTTCATGTATTTCATGTTCAGGTATGATATTTGACCCTGACAGAGAATCGGAAAAATGTCCCTGCAGACCTCCAAAAGTAGTTTGACTAAGAATAGAATGGAGAAAATAACAAGAAACAACAGGACAACAAATTCCAAGATCCTTTTACCTCTCCTATGATGTGAATTATCAAATTTCTTATCATGTGACATTCTTCAGAGGGAAGGGAACAGTAAAACCAATATCATGCCTTATCACTACGGTGGGTTTTTTGTAGTTTGTATTTTGTAGTTTGTTTTTAAATTTGTTTGTAGTCAGTATGGGCACAGTGCCCAGTGTGCCTGTTGGATAATCTGGCCCTTGTGGGAAGTAATGAAGCATGTTACCATGGCAACCGAAAGCTAACAACCAATGGCAGCAGTAGTCCATGATATGCACATGGCAATGAGTCAGTTGGGCGCTCCAACGGCACAGGCACAATATGATGCATGACGTACATCAGCTGTGAACATCAATACATGTGACTACTGTCAGTCCTAACAATGACCTTTGCGCATTGAACACATTTGAGCTAGCATGACGTCGGGTGCTTTTGTACTTGAATGACCTCACCTTTGGGAAAAACTGAAGTGGCTCATTCCAGCAGCGCAGGCATAAAAATTAAGCATGTCGCGGGTCATTCCAGACAAGCAGAATGAGCGTGCTAGGTTGGCCCTTTCAATGTGGCCAAACGTCAACTCACACGTACACACGCTGAACATATTCATGCTGGTACAACATTAGGTGCGACGCAATGTTTTCATATAACCTTGCCTTTCAAAAATACTGCACTGACTTATTCTTAACACTTATGATCATGTGACCTAACATCCTCCTGAATCAACAGCATTCTGGAATCAGAGGTTGTGACCAGAACTAATAAATTGTGTACATTTACCTTAATTCACTCTGGAAAAAATGTCAAAATTATTGGTCCCCAATAGGGCACATATTGCCACTCAGGCACTTGACTTGCTGCAGAGCACTGCTTGCATAGAGGCATGGTTGATCACCTTCCTGATAGTACGCCCTGTTTAGGTGTGGTTGTAAGCATCATACCACAGTTGACCAGAAGTTCTGAGGGAACTGGAATCAAGAAGATGGACAGAGAGAAAGAGAGGATAATAAGCTTATATCGTCCAACAGTAAAGTCACCAAGTCAAACACCTAGCACCAAGGTTCATATAGAATCAACCTCATCCCCAGCAGTTATTTATTTCCTTCTTGGATCTCTACGGTAACTAACCCCCAGAAAGTTGTAAATGTGAAAGTATTCGCTGTGAATGACGTCCACTGTCCTTGTTAAGCAATCCCTCTTTAAAATGTGAAAAAGCACACTGGCTGGATGGGAGTTTTACTTATTATTGATATAAAAAAATCTGCTTGCTGATATATCACGCCACAAAGAATTGACTGCTTTTATACCAGACACCACAGAGTAAAAAACACTGATGAAGAGCATGGCCTGACACTATTCCTCATTGACAAATGTTTCCAAAGTTGTGGATATGCGAAGAATCCAATACCAGGGTGCAAAGAAGGTAACCATGGTGATACACTGTTCAAACCATAGGGACAAGGTTGACACAGAGCATAAAATCTAACACCGATAGCCATTTTTCCATTCCCTAAATCCCGTATCTTCTTGTTTGAACTAGAAAGTTCCATTTATCAAACAATCGCCGAACAATTACCAATCTCTGGGAGGATACTTCCACAGGCAAACCACACCCAACATAAGTGTTAAGTTATTATCGTACTTTTCCTCAAAACAACAAAGAAAAATGGTGATTCTTCTCCCAAATGCCTAACTAGATACTCAAAACTTCAATCATTCATCTGACTGGAAGGAAATGTGAAAATCATGGACTTACTAGACGATGTCTGCAAATGCACCCAGCAGTGTCTTGGATTGGTACCTCAAGCCGTGTTTCATGCACAGAGCTTTGACGTGGGGCACTATCTTCATGTAGTTGTGCCTCGGCATGGTGGGAAAAAGGCTGTAACCAAAAAACCAAATGGGCTTCAGAAACTAACATCCGGTAACATCCACATATTTGGGAAAATGAAGGTTGAAAAACATTGGCTTATTTCAAAACACTACAAATATTCCAATGTTTCTGATTTGCGAAGAGCATTTTCACAGCAATATTATCCTGACATTGTCAAGCTCTAAATATTACAAACATGTCACATGTATGAGGAAACGACAGTACTACAACTGTAAACTACTCTACAAGGTCTAGTATCCTATGACCATCGGTGTGGCAAAATTATCATAATTCAACCAACTTCAAACTGATCTTAGCACACTCTTTGTACGGATGATACAACTTTCTGTGAACATTGCTTTTGCACGCTATATGCACCAGCATGAGTGGTAATTATAAAGCCATTTGCGAGTTAAATTTGAATAAAATCTGGTACACCAAGTTCTTTAAATTCACGTGAACATAACTACTTGAATTCTCCATACTAAAACCACTGTTGCTATACCTTGTAATTTGGGGCAAGCTTTTGCTTTTTTACATAAAAGACGCCTTGCAACAATACACTGTTCTCAATGGATAAGAACGGCACAAAGGAACCAGTCCACTCCAGAGATGGTGGTCGCTATGCAAAAGCTTGCCCCGAATCATGAGGTATAGCAACAGTGTTTTTAGTCTGGGGAATTCAAATTGTTACGTTTCTGTGCAATCAGATAACACAGTGTACCAGATTTTATTCAAATTGAACTCCCAAGTGGCTTATCATTAGTTATCACTCAAGAGTGAGAGGAACACTGCATAATTTAGTGCGTCTGTGTTGCATATCCGGCCTCATGGTATACGAGACACAGATCCACTACATTATTCCATGTTCTACAAGCGCAAGCGTGATAACGAATTTATCTTCAAGCAAATTTAACACATACTGAACATGTTATATTGACCTCAGCGCACAAACGCCCACTCTTGAATTTACAGTAAATTTTGCAGATTTATGTTTGCTCTCAGGGTCTAAATAGCACAAAGCGTGGGGTCAGAACAGCGCATTACACAGTGTTTGATATGAACCATGCAATACATTATTATACTACTTGTTGGCATGGATTGACTAATCAGAATTGAGAATTTGAGTTTGCTTGAAGATAAATAGTAGTAGTACAGAGTACGTAATAGTCCCTACTTCTCGGCTTCAAGTAAAATTTAAGTAAGTTGGGTTTTTCTTGGGCACATGAGGTCCCCTTATTAACCCTGCCACACTTCTCTGCTACATGACATGATGATGGAGGTGTGGCTTTCAAGAATACTCAGTGAGCACAAAGAGTTAAGACTGCCAGTTCCAAGTGAGAATTGAGTGTGAGAATAAATGTTGCCATAGCGCTGGACACAAAAAATACATACGGCATCATCGCAACCATAACAACCAATCAAGTTATCCGTTCTTTACCAATTATGAGCTTACATATAAGCACAAGTTTCTATTAGTCAATAAAGACAGGATATAAAAGTGCATGTAAAGAGAAAGATATTTCATTTACAGAGCAAAAAAGTTTGAGTCTTGAAGTTTCAATCCTAGCAAAATGTTTCAATAGACAGCAAGCAGTTTTGCTGGAATTGATGTATTTTTATATTGAATTTACTTTTTCTGCCATGAGACATTTTTTATGGGCATGAAAGCATAAGAATAACATGAAATTAGTAAATCTCATACTCAATGTTAGAGTCGGCAGCCATGAAGGAAAAAGATTTCTTACTGGTGTTCGATCTGATAGTTAAGGTGGCCAGTAAACCAGTCATTGAAGAAGGAGGGCTGAACATTGCATGTGGCTTGTACTTGCAACGTCAACCAGTCCCGACGGTGGTCAGTATCTACCTCCATGGGGATGTGATTCATCTGGGTCACCCAGACAAACCAGTGACTCTCCAGGAACCTGAAAAGGTGGAAGGAAATGGTTGGAGATTTTGCATAGGTTTCAACCAGTCACCCTTCATCTACCTGGTGAGATAAGTGATACAGCATGGTTTGAGGATGGATAGTCACTGTCAGCTCCAAAAGGTACTGAAGTCCACCTTGCGAGCTAGTTTGTCAACTTTCAATCCGCTCTGAGCAGGAACAAAAGAGGATGTGCTTTGAAATGAAATTTGACAGTCCTTTGGTACTCACGCACTGCACAGGTGAACAAGTTAAGTGGGCTTGACGTGGAGCATGCTGAGTATGCGCGATGATTTCAGTCTAGGAAGTGTGGTCTTTCCGTGCACACCGATGTGAACTAGAACCCAGTCATATATACCAAGGTGCAAACATACGCATACAGACTGGCAATGAGGTCACTAATGTACGTTTATGCACCCTAAAGGAATGTAGTTGACTAGGGCCGTGTTCATTAGTAGGCCTACAATACAAATATGCCAGTCTTGGTGTACCCTGTATTCCTTTATTGCTGGTGAAATGCGTGCATATGCAAAGTATTGTGCAACTGAATGTGCCGTAGAAGAGGGTTCTAGTTCCTGAGGCGGTAGGCCGAGGGAAATATTTCCCCTTCCCTTTAGCACACAAACTGACATAAAAAGATTCATTGCCAACATGCTTAAAAGCACACACTACTTGCTAGCCCCCGACCGCAGCATATCAGGCTGCAATGTTCTGATCACACTCGTACCTACTGTCTCCATGGCATAACCATCTCATCTTGCATGAGAAATTACAGATCACAGATTTGGTTTCCACTGCCCCCCTAAAGTTGTGTACCTACATCCATTTTACAGACCCCATTTTACCTACAACTTGTATGAGGGGCCAAAGTTGGCAGAAATATGACTTCCCCCGCCCTTGAAATTCATTCAAAACAGACACGATTCCATTAGAATTCAATACGGCTGTATTTTCATTTAGTATTAAATAGTACAGGTATCATTATCTAGTGTTCTGATAGCTGATGGGATTTTAATGCTTTGTGGATCACTCTTTGACTTTTGTACTGAGGGCCAGCCATAGTTTTAGCAGCCACTTGTAGGAAAAAAAACCCACAATTGTAATGCCAAAAGAGCAGACTCTATTTATCCCCAAATTAAGAACAGCAAATCTTCATATGCACATGTGCAGTCCTACAAAACTGGACTGGTTTATCTATACCTGACAAACATGTACAAGCCAAAGGCACTCAGACCACCCAGCAGAGGTCCGTAGGTTGCGAAGAACCGGACAAAGAAGATGACCGTCCAAGCAAGATCCTTGGGAAAGAGAAATCAATTTGTTTACAAGCAGTCTAAACAGCTCCGTCTGTCCAGAAATAAAAATGTCAGTGAAAAGTGAATCTGAAAGGCCTTTTCACAAGAAAGCGCATTTTGTGTTTAACAGTCGGTAGGATACTTACAGTCCAGACCTTCTTCGTAAAGATGTGGTACATATTCTCCACGTGGAAATAAATGGGGAGCAACAACGGTGGACCGACTGCAGAAAACATAATAAACCACTTTACATATCAAAGAGTATTTGGTCAAACAGATCAAAAAAGGCTGTTACCTTACTGTGCCTTTTATTCTTTACAACAATATAAAGATTGATGTCTTTAACTTGGACAACTTTGAACTGATGGTTGCAAGTAACACATTTAATAAGGGAATAAATATTTGCTTGGCCAGTCTTAAATGTACATTTAAGACTGGTTCAGGAGAATGGACCCGACTAATACCCGAGCTGCAGGTCGACCAAGCATATATTTATTCCCATTCACAAATGCCGTTTTAGTCAGAGTCAAAAGAGGTCAATATATGATAAATTTCCAAGCATTTTGTTTAAGAATTCTACTTTCATTTTGCCGCACACCCCCATCCATGTTATGGTATATTCTTTGTGCAAGTAATCCAGTAGAATCTCCACAGACTTGGTGCGCGTGCCACAGCACGCAGAGACTTTTGAACAATAGGAATGGATTAAACCGTCTCGTATCCATGTGCCAGCGCAATTTTAAGCAGAAGGCATAATAACATCGCAGCGGGCAATATCAAATTTCAATACATGGTCATGTTGCACGTTGCTGAATGGATGCTTGTTTCATGTGTCTACAAGGGGACAGTATAGACTTGTTTTCCAACTTAATTATTCAATAGACTAAATAATCAAACTAAGCTTGCAAATTACACAATACTTAAAAGGTCCAACTTGAAACAAAGTTCAGTCTTCTTTGAGAGTAAAGACAAGACCCAAAATTAACTCCAAAACTGCACAGAATTCAAACAAAGATTAGTATGGTAGCTTGGGTGAAATAAAGGTCCAGGAATTGCTTGATGAAAATTTATTGCCATTTCAAATTTAAGCTCTGATCAAAATTTGAAGTATTTTTCAAAAATGACCAAGAAATTGAACATATTTAAAATGGTTTAATAGTTTGTTTCATATGTTTGAAACACTGTTTCACAGGAATTTTAAAAACAAAGCTGCTTCCATAGGGATGTGTGCAATTCACAGCCAATGTTAAGAATTCTGATATGACCATATAAAGACATACACGGTCAACTGCATGATGTGGAAAGTGACCACCAGTCTAAAATTAGAAGTTCTGATTTGCATTTTTCTGATGGATTGGTTGACTTGTTTTAACTTCAGTTTCCCTGTGGAAAGAAATTTTAAAAATCCAGACAACCTCAAAAAAGGTAGGAGGGAAGCTAAACATATTGTGTACTGCAACTTAGACCAAAGAAATACTGAGTCAAATGCTCCCGGGGAGGTATCCATTGGGTAGCTTACTTAGGAAGAAGTAGCCCTGTTGGTAGTTGTAGGGCATGAAGCCTCTCTTCAGGCTTGCCCACTTGATGGGCATTTTGTCTCCAAAGAGGAACAGGTAAGGCATGGTGATGTCAGGGTCCTTCTTGACCACATTAGGCTTGGCGTGATGCTGGAAGTGACGGTAGTTCCACCAATGAGCAGAGGCAGCCTTTAGAGAAGAAGACACCCATGGCGCAAACAATCAATTTCCCTACGGCTGAGGGGCCTACAATCCGCTCTTTTCAGATAATGTCACAATGCATTTTGTTTCTTTGTGCTGAGCCTTTGAAAAATTTTCCAGACTAGCTTACAGTCATGTAGACTCCAATTTTGGGGGGAAATTTGACACAGCTGCAATATGGCTGTTTTTCCTAGACAGAGGTTGACATGCTCAAGGCACACGGGCCCGACATGCATAAGGCTGTGCTCCACAGGCAAACTGACCATAACAAGAAGTTGAGACTGAATTGAAACTTCAAAGCTGTGATCATATTGAATATTTTCACATGCAAGCAATATTTCAAGAAAGATTAGGCATGGTACGGCCCCAACTTCCCTTGCCTCCCAGCTGTGCGATGGTCCGGAAAAGCTAAGTTCTATTTTCACCCATGCAGTGCCACATAGCAAATAATAGTCATTAAAGTTTGGATTGAAATGATGATTTCATTTCCAACTGGTAATTCTGACAGTTTTGCCAAGACAAAGTCTTGCACTCCTAATCTTCTCACTGTCAACACAGTGCACTTTTGACAATGCACAAACACCTGAGAAGATAAATGAGTTCACGCAGGGGGGGGCTTTGGCCAAGCCACAGCAATTTCTACACATAGTACCAAGTGATGTACATGTACTCATTCCATTGCGTTTGTATGAACACACTAAGGATCCAACTAATCTGTGGAGGTTTAGCATTTTTGAAGCCCCAAAGCATCCTTGTGTTATGGCCATACCTCATTTCTCAATCTGATCTATGTCATTCTTAAGACCTTTTCCTGGCAATGATAAGCAGCTAATTCTTGGAAATTTCAACTAAAGTCAGACAAATTTTTTCTTTCTCTTTCGTCCATTGATTAAAGAGAGTTTTTCAAAGATAGCCACTTGTAGATAGCATTATTTGACAACAAAATAGCCCCAAAACACTATTTTTGGCCTTAAAAAAGATCACTTTTAAGTGGGAAAGAACAGATGCCAATTCAAGAGTAATTACAGTATGCGGCATGCAAAAATGACAGTTATCCCAAAACGGAGATATCTTGATTAACAACAGAGATATCTCTACTGTCAACAGAGATACCTCTATTTCTCAAAGTGCAAAGTGAACATTTAATTGTGAAATACAGATATTCACGATTTAATGTTAACTTTGCACCTCTAGAAATACAGATGTCTAATACGGAAATCTCTATTTTCAATGAGATATCTCTATTTCACGATTAAATGTCAACTTTGTACCTCTAAAAATGGCATAAAATGTCAACTTTTCATGCTGTGAGAGGCATATCTACAAGATTTGTATGGCATTTCATATAACATCTCATACATATTGATGACCGAGAGCTAAACTCTCACTGGTCCCATCATCCTTATGTGTGAGTTGGTATTTTTGCTGTTTACCAGGCACGGACAGGCCAGTACAGAACTTTTCCCTGGGAACAGTTCCAGATTGCCTGGGTGCTGAATGCTATGCTACATGCACACTACATGTACATATGTGAATGACCAGATGGAAGCACACGTGCTGCCTTTCCCTTGCCCCTGAAAATTTAATACCTACTGAATACGTCTGAGGTATGATAAGCAAATTCAACGTAGCCAAACAAACCATGCTGTGTTTATATATCATGCCATTTTTTTTCTTTACTCTAAGGCAATGCCACAGAGTGATATTTCCTGCAGGTCAGGGTACCACAGGTTTACAGGTCGTCTGGCGGGAACTGGTTTCGGCTAAAACTTGAAATTCGGTTTTTAGTTTCAGCCATAATCACCCAGTACCAAATATGAACCAAAATGAATAGGGGTGGGATTTAATCCAGTGAGTGCCGTGACATGGAATGACCCAGCAGCTATTACATTGGGCCCTGGATTCACAGGGGATTCTGAAGTCTGCTGACCTTACCTTCAGACCTCCAATGACAAAGTAATGCAGCCAATGGTTCCAGCGGGATTGACGAAAGACCGATAGATGACCCAGGTCATGCTGCAACCATCCAGCTTGGGCCTGGGGTCAATCACAACACTAAATCATTTGAAACGCACACATCATGCAACATGACTAGTAGGCTTACAAGGCTTATTCAGTTACTTGATTAATCAATTTGTGTGTGAATTTGTCAGTTACCTTGTTTTTACTACAAGTATGTCAATAATGATTCCATGCAAACAATCGATATCAAACTACTCAGTAACTTCTGTTTTTTATATTGGACTGAACATAAGTCCTGGCTAACAAGTCAATATCACAGCCACAGTAATGTTATTACCCACAGTCAAGCATCTATCTAGGCATATACTAAAAGGCCAGTCAGGCCATCTCATGAATTCACTGCTTGTGTTTTATGGAATGTATGCATATTGCTGGAGCGGGTTAACTATCCAGCTTATAATTGAAGGGTAGGGAATCACCTGTGAAATCGTGAGCAACACAGCTGTGAACAAATAAGGCAGCCATCCTGTTCCATAATACCACAACACCAGCCAACCCAGAACCTCAAGGGCAAGAATGTGGCCTAGGTGGGCAGCGTAGAACCAGAGGTTAGGGGTGAAGAGACCCATCTCCTCCGCCTGGGTTCGAAGGTCACGCATATCAGTCACGATGCTTGCCTGGGTGTTATAGGTGATGGAGACTACGATTAGCTTAAGGCCGACAATGGATGGGTTAAAGGTCATCGAGGAAGTACATGTATGTGAGAATATACATGTAGTTGGTGATGTCGGCAAGTATTAAGTCTTAGAAATTGAAGAAAATATGCAGTTCTGCTTAAATTGCTTACAATTTCTCTAAAAACTTTAAAGACAGTTGGTCAACACGGAAGGATATCTGCTGAAAATGTGCTGGTGGCAAGTGGCTCACTCCCACTGCGTGATTGTTATGTGCCATATCAAGTCAGGCTACCTTCAACACGCTCCACCTGAGATTTGCTTGAGAAAAATCCTAAAAACTACCGCTACCTTAACATACGAGTACCAAACAAAGGAAAATAAAGTTTCAGAGTGTTATCTGCCATAGTATTTTTGTTACAGCCTCTGAACACTGAGGCTAGGAGCACGTTGCTTTGGTTTTGGTAGCATCTTTGAAGGCCTGTACGTATCTTCTTTTTTAACCCTAACAGTACCGGGTGTTGTTTGGCTTAGACTACTCAGGACTACAAAATACTACATAACACTCTAAGCCTGAAGGACCTAGCGCTACAAATTACTACTTTTGGCTAGGTTTATTCCACTGTTACTCGTAGAGGACAATGAAACCATGCATTCATAGTGCCACAGCACTGTATGGTACATTGTCTTCTCTGTTGTGTTTTATGGCTTCAGAGAATAATAATGTCATATCCTCTTACAAGCGACAGGGCTGAGTACTATATTTTACTACTAAGTAGTACTTTGTAGCATTCGGGACTGTTAGGGTTAATGGTAAAAGTCTGAATGTTGGTGTGAAGGATGATCCTTGTAGTTACATGTACTTTAAAATAATATAATAATTCCTGCTACAACTGTATCCTTCATGAGGTATGTCAAGGTACTAGTGTGTTTAAAAATTTGTTTTCCGGCAAATCTGAGTCTGGTGATATAAGACTGACTTTCTTGTAAATTTTGCTGTGGGAAATCGTCACAATCAGAGGTTGATAAGTTAGACCTGTGGCCACTGGTTACCACAACCAAAGGAACACTAATGATCAGTCCATTGATTTTCCTTTTGTAATCAAGCAAATCCTGTGTCAAACAGCACATTTTGAATATAATGGACTCTGAACTTCCTTCACTGTGAATTAAACAACTAAAACATGCCTTACATGTATATCTGGGAACATAGGTAATTTAATATCCAACGATCTTGACAAAACACTCCCCCAAATAGTGAACAGAACAGAACATAGATGAATAGGATATTGTAGAAAGGATAACATTTCAGGACTGCAAATGTCAACATTATATGCTTTTTTCCTTGAATCGTCTTAATTTTGTCCAACTCACAAACCGCACGACCACAAGTGCCAAAGTCACTTGAAGAAAGAAGTAATTAATTACATGGCTTGTAATTTGAGACGTGTTGCTGGAAAGTCACTTCCATCTTAAAGGTCAAGAAAGTTGCTAGGGGTATTGAGTACAAACCTTGACTGTGTCATTCGGTGACAATGATCCGATACGGAGAGGTTTGAGGAACTTCCTGACGATTTTCTTGTCAGGATGAAAGGCAACAAAGGGATCCTAAAGGTGACAGGAAATTGGAGATGACACTATTCAAAGTAGACTGAATTGAAGTCAGTTGTCACTTGTGCAAGGCTTTTTGATGCCTTAGTCAAAGGGATTTAGAAGAAATACAGGGATTTCTGTAAATTGAACATTTCTAAAGATAAGTTCTACTTTCATTTTTTTGAGGATTACTTTTTGGGTCTGACCCATCTGTCATTTTTTTTTCCATTATAATACAAGTATAACTGTATGCTGATATTTCTAATGACAAAACAGTAAAATGAAAGCAAAATGGTTTACTTCTGGACGCTAAAAGCCATAGATTAATTGTTTAATGTACGTTCTTCAACAATAGTTGGCAATGTTTGCAAGGCAAATTTGTACAAGGCAGGTCAAAGCCTCAAGTCAAAGTGTAACTGGAGTCTAATTCCAGTCTTTGTGACCAATTCCACAACACTGCCAATAAGCCACTTGCGAGTTAAATTTGAGTAAAATCTGGTACACTGTGTTATCCCATTGCACAGAAATGTAACAATTTAATTTCCCCAGACTAAGACACTGTTGCTATACCTCGTGATTCGGGGCAAGCTTTTGCACAGCGACCACCATCTCTGGAATGGACTGGTTCCTTTGTGCTGTTCTTATCCATTGAGAACAATGTATTGTGGCAAGGCGTCTCTTATGTTACTAAGCAAAAGCTTGCCCTGAATCACGAGGTATACCGCTAGCAACAGTGGTTTTAGTATGGAGAATTCAAGTTGTTACATGTATGTTCACGTGAATTTAAAGAACTCAGTGTACCAGAGTTTATTCAAATTTAACTCGCAAATGGCTTATTGTAGCCAACAATTCTTGTTGGTGACCAATCCCGTTTTTAACCATTTGGCCATTGTGGCATGGTTTCTGTTATTGCCACTTGTTTGATGAGGCCTCCAAGGCAATCAAAGTCACCGGCCAATAACGGGCAACATACATGTAACACAACACTGGACTTGTGATATTCATCACAATTTAATGGCAACTTCATTTACACATGGCAATTATGGCAGTCTTTAGCTGGGGGAAGGGAAGAGATTCACCCCATGGCTGTGAGGAGGTCTCACCACTTGAAAATCAGACCTTAATGTTAGGCCACCAGGCTGGCACCTGTGAGCTGTATCATACATGTATGTGACCCGCTCTGCAAAAAAGGGTATTAAGTCACGCTGTGCCAAAACACGTAATGACCTGTTCTATTTGAAGAGGGCAAAATTTCTTCAAAAATGTGGTGCTGTGTTTTTTCCTTTAATAGCTTCTATAATATTTATATTTTCAGAATTTGTGACTACAAACACTCATACTGAGGATCAAAGATGAAAAATTGATCATTCAGTAAGAAATCCTGTAAAGCATTGTGTTTCCAAGCGCTACACTTTATGAGCTTTTTCTAGAATGGTGCTTTTATTGAATACGAAAATGTGGATATACAAATGTCCATATATCTCCAGAACGCAGTGCACTACAGGGGGTCATTCATGTATCAAATTGTAACTTTTGATGTACAGAATCCAGCCATATCACAAGCTTGTAACCTGAATCTGGCGACTTATTACCCATTTTTCTAGAGTAAGTCACATAGCACTGCTCAATGTTTACAATGACCTGCAATGAAGCTTGTTAAAGTCTACTTACAGTGGCATCTTCCCCAGCGTAGTGGGACAGCACCTTGAGTCCCCCTGGGTGTCTCTTCACCCACTGGGAGACATCATACACTCCATCCTCAATCACAACCCACTTGTCTGTCCGAGTGCTGTGCTTTTTCACTTCATCCCATGAGTAGTAACCGTGTTTATTGACCTCTGACACACCTTGACCTTGATGACCTTTACCCATGATGTCAATTGCCTTTGATACAGGCACACATACCTAAATTTACCTACACACATAAGGAATACAACAACAAAAATTTTGACAAAGGTTTAAATTCATTAGGAGAAAAATCCCAGTACAGAGTACATGTAGGTGGAGAACTATTTTGAACTATTTGATGAATTGAAAAACACATTTTTGGGTTTTGAATATACTCGTACATTATGTATGTAGAATTTGCAAATCATAAAAACTAAATGGAACAAAAAACCTCTTACAATAGCAAAACAAGCAGGTTCATTTTCAGAGGGGGGGTGTTAATAAACTGCATCAAACAGACCCTACTGACAGGGATTTGCTTGGAATTTGCTTGTTTTTGTCCTTTTTAATATTTAACAGGTGTTCCAGTGTACAAAGCCACCATCTAGACACAATCCTGCATTCAAACTCTCTTGCCTGGTTACACATTTCAAACAATCTTTTCTTGACTATTTTGGGTATTGTGTATACTGAAACACAGAAGTGAACACCGAGCTGGCAGGACCTTGTGTTTGAACAGCCGGTTTCTATGAATAAAGGGAACCAATGCTAGCCCATTACATTTATACCTTAATGGTTATACAACTTCTGCATCTGTGCTGTACAAAATGCCCTATTGCACTATCACAGTTTATTCAACTCATCTGGTTTAATCAAATGTTTTCTTTGCGTAAATGTACACTGTACATAAACTGCATGTGTTCACACCACAGAGCTATATTTAATTACTAAAGCGCTGACTATTCATTCTCCGCATGGAGCAAATTTGACACCATCCTGGGTGCAGACATTTTCAATCCATGTGCGTGCTTTTAGAACATTCGAAATCCTATCTAATGTGTCCAATTAGGTACTCTAAATGCAACACGCATTGGGAATTGGTAAAATCTACTTAAAAAAGTCACAGCCAAATTATCTACAGACCATACACGCATGCGTTGTTTACTCAGAGCAAGATGAAATGCTCATTTATTGACTGTAAATGCTTAATGTACAGCGTGTACGTACATGCACATAATGGTGCACAAATTTACGCCACGTAACTGTATATTTTTTATAAGCTTTTGAGAAGAGGAATAGAAAATCAAAGGTAAATTGGCTTTGCTCCTAACCACATCGCCCCATTGCCACTTCCCCCCATTTCTACTTTGCCCCTAACCACATCGCCCCATAGCCACTTCCCCCCATTTCCACTTTGCCCCTAACCACATCGCCCCATTGCCACTTCCCCCATTTCCACTTTGCTCCTAACCACATCGCCCCATTGCCACTTCGCCCTGATGTACATGTAAACTTTAACGTCTATGGGTTTAGTTTTAACCTAAGAGTACTGCTGAAGGATACAATGTCAACAGTTTATCTGCCCAGCCAAACTAAAGATTCAAATTCAGGCAGTTTGCTAAAGAAAATGTTACAATAAACATGATCATCCTATCATTATGGAGTCAAGTCATGCGGCCAGGCAATAAGGCCTAAATGTAGTGAAATCATCGGCGCTATAAGGAGTGAAGTTATGCTGAAAATGTACTGACTGTACACAGTATGTGCCTAGTTTCACCAAAATATAATCATTGAAAGTTTAGGGTTGCTATGTGATTCTTAAGTGATTATAATTACTAAAGGAAGATGAAAGGAGAGACGCATTTTATTCTGTCTTCTAAAGTCAACTTTGTTTGGAAACAGAGTCACAAGGAAGGCCTAGTGGCTCAAACGAAAGGATTAAAATGGAAGAGAATACGGAGCCATGGCAGCCTACATATAGGGGATCACTAGAAGACTACAGGAGAAACTTAAATGACAATTTTAAGAAATGATATCTTTTCTTTCATTATTCCAATGCTATTATCAAATCCATTGTCACGTGGTGTCAATCAATGACACAAGAAAGACGCCTTGTTTGTCTTTGTGCCAGAATTTCCTGGGGAGAAGCGGCAATGGGGCAAAGTGGGGGCAGGGCTATGTGGGGATGGGACGAAGTGGGGATGGGGCAAAATGACTATGGGGTGAGGTGGTTAGAGGCGAAGTGACATGGGGTGAAGTGGAAACGGGGCAAAGTGACCAACACCCCTCAGAACAGAATTCATGGAATTGAATCGTATGTTCGTCAATTTGCTCATGAATGTAATCTTATGAGGTGTAGGTGCATGGTCTATTTCTGGGAAGAACGTGGGAATTATTGGTCCCTACATCAAAGAAACAGTAATTGCTGCCACTTCCCCTTAACCATGCCGTAGGCCTACATGTATTTCATTTGATTGACTGGTCTACAATATAAACCATGATGTACATCATGATGGGCCAAGCCCAGCGGACATTGGCTACAATGCACTGCGACTAACATCCAAGATGTAAAGTCTTCCTACCAAAGCGAAATTTGTTTCAACTTTTCTTTCTCATATTTTTACCTGGCATAGGCAGCTCAAACATCATTTACAAATGCCTTGTATCCCAAATTCCATAAATGCTGTGTTGAAATTTCTAACTACACCCGTTGACGACGTATTTTGCAGGAAATTTAGCACAACTCCACTCTTTCCGTCGTGCACGATCTACCTTCGCCCAGTAGTAAGTTGTACATGCGCGAAATGCATAGCAACTGACCACCCATTACACATGCACGGAGGAGCCTTGGGAGTGAATAAGTTACAGATAACTGACAAAATGTGGGTCGCCGGGCCTTAAAGTCAATGAAAATTTGTGGTTTTGGGGCTGATTTTTCTCTATTTGTGTGTTTTGAGTACAGCACCATGTCCACACATGCGTAAGGGGCAGTCAGTTGCTATGCATTTTGCGCTTGTGCAAATGTATACAAGACGAATATAGCTTATTCACAACGGAAAATGTGAAGTTGCGCTAAATTTCCTGCAAAATATGTCATATGTGGGCGTATTTACTAAATTGAGTCATTTCAACACAGCATTTATGGAATTCGGGATACAAGGCACTTGTGAATGACATTTGAGCTGCCTCCACCAGGTAAAACTAAAAATGTGACAACAAAGTTTGAAAAAATTTTGCATTGTACGAGCATGACGAGGACTACATAGGCCTACCCTGGATGTCAGTGGTAGTGTAATGAGAATGTTAAATGAAGACAACGTCCAAACCTGCCAACCTGGCCCTGGGCTAATGTAGGACCTAACGTTAGGCCTAAAATAGGCTGAGTAACTTTTTTAAAATATGGACATGGTCAGGCGATAGTACCACCCGACCATGTCGAAATGTTTAAAAAGGCGATTTGAATTTGTAGATGTAGTAGGGCCAGCTCTACTAAGTGGAGCATTAGTACTGTTCCCCTTTTTCGATTTTGGACGGGAGTATGACGATCCCGTCCAAAATTGAAAAAGATGAATACTCACGCTCCACTTACAGGTAGTAGAGCTAATGTAGAACATGATGATGTACGCCTAGGTCCAAGTTAGGCCTAGGCCTACTCGGACCATGGAGGAAGGTCCATGCTCGGACTAAGCCTAACCATGGAGGTGTGATTCTACCTCGATGGCCTAACTCAGTAACTGACATGACTGACAAAGCACTACTGCCACTAGGCATGCTAGGACTGGGCCGGGCCTCCTTACCTCCAAAAATTTTTCTTCTGTATCCAATCGCTTCCAGGAGAACCAGAAATGCTAGATTACAGCACGGCCATGGGCGGTAGAGGTGCACGTATTTATTAATCAGACAATGACATGCACTGAGCTCATACTATGTCAAAGAGCAGGGCGTATCTAGGGAAACGGAAAAGGAGGCCATTATCGGAACAGCACTACTTCCTTGGCGCTTTTTGTTAGAACACATGATGGCGCCCTGCGGCTTGTTCACACCAAGGCTGCGTCCAGTCTGTATCTGCAAGTGTTGTCCAGCAATTATGGAGGACGAAAAGTGGCCATCTGCTTTTCTGCTATCAAAGTAGTAGAAAAGCTGGTAACATGCAATTTTGACTTTTCTACTTTTCTGCCACCTCAAAAAGCAGAACGAGCATTGTTTGGTTAGGCCTATGCATTTTTCTATTTTTCTGCTTTTCTGCTTCAAAAAAGGCAGGTTTTACTTTTTCTTTGTTCGCTTACGGCCAAAAAGCGGCCATCTGCTTTTCTCCTTTTGAACAGGCAGAAAAGAGGATCGAACGTTTGACAACAACCGTGAATTCTACTTTTTTGCTTTTTTGATACCGGAAGAGCAATGTTACATTGGCGGCCGAAAAGTGGCCATCTGCTTTTCTGCCTTCCAAGGGTCGTGAACGGGGTCGTGAACCTCAGGTTATGACCGTTTCCTTTCTTGGGGATTGAAGACGTATAAACCAATAATCACAGTCCACCTATCTTTTATAATGAAAGATTCACATGTTTTCCTTGGACCAAGCAAGCTTGTGTGTCTATACCTGTAAAACTGTGTTTCCTTTGAGATGCTGGTTTCTCTGCCTCACAGGGACAATGATACTGCCGTATGGCATTGTTCCGCAGAAAACATGTTTGAGCAGTGGTTTCTATACATCTTCATTCCCCAGAACGGAAACGGTGGTAACCTACAGGTTCATGGCCCCATTCACGGCCCACTGAGGACAGAAAAGATGGTCACTTTTCGGCCACCTATGTAAAATCTGCTTCTCCGGTATCACAAAAGCAGAAAAGATGAATTCACGGTTGTCGTCAAAACGTTCAATCCACTTTCCTGCTTGTTTGATATGTAAAAAGCAGATGGCCAATTTTCGGCCGCCATCAAAAAGAGGAAAGTAAAACTACATTTGTAGAAGCAGGAAAGTGGACAAATGCATTACAATAAAATGGCCATTCTGCTTTTGAGGTAGCAGAAAAGTGGAAAAGTCAAAATTGCATGTTTCAAAGACGTAGAATCCGTAATTGTCTACTATTCTGATGGCAGAAAAGCAGATGGCCACTTTTCGTACTCAATACCAGCATGCTACCTGTCACAGTGGCAGTACTAGGGCACGGTACGTACCTGCCAGTGGCGCAGTGTGGAATTTGAAATGCAACTTATTGTGCATGCCACTGAAGACAGCTATTGCATATGAGACTATGGAGCAGTAGCACTACGGTGCACATGAGGGGTAGCCTACTTGGCAGTTCGTCCACACTTTCCGAATTTAAATTGGTAAACAGGAAGGTAACGAAATCGTAGTGTAACTAATATAAAACAAACCACGCGCAAGCAATTGCCTAAATTTGTGCCGGATATGGGAGGGATTAGTACCACCCATGACACCAGTGGCATATCCCGCGGGGGGTAATTGAAGTAATCTTTATATTTTTTATCAAATATTAGGACCAAAAACCTAAGAAAACAACATCACGAAAAAAAGCTAAGATGTCGAGATCGTTAGTAAAGCTTTTGATAATTTTTTTACCCCCAACCATCATGTTAAATGAGCCAAAGCCGTATTCGCTTTTAAACTCCCCCCCCACACACACACATACCAAAAGCTGGATACGCCACGTGACAAGAAAGACCGAAGACTCACGGAAGTTTATCCCGACAGCAATATTCATATTCATAACCAAGGGCGGATGCGGGGGGGGGCAATGGGGCCATTTGGGTCTGGGTCCGGCCTTGGCCTTGACATAACTGTCTGGGGACATGTACATGTGCTTCTTTAATGGTAAATTGTTTTACTGCCAGTCTTGAGAGGAGATTGGTCATTACGCTTCGCTGAAGCTTGCTCTGTTGAATTTTCCGACTTCCTTTGAAACAAAAAATCCTCTTGCCACTAATGTAGCCTTTATTCAAGTCTGGTTACCCCATACTCGCTTATCGACATGTATAAGCGCATGCTGATGCCACAGATGTAAGCCCATAATATGCTATGGTTTGTTCGAGCAAGCATGCTATTCTGTAATATAGGTCAGAAAAAATCATTGAAAAATTTGGAATAACAGGGTCGCAACTGTCGAAATTGCAAACAAAGTGCATACAATCTTGTCCTTGCTCTATGATACAACTAAAAAAATGGAAAACGAAAACAAGGAAATTGACCCAAGCCAGTGCCTGCATCCGTTTCACGAAAAATGCATGATTGCTTAGTTTCTAAAACAGAAGTTTTGTTCTGTGCTGCATCGTGACATATGTAATACAGGGTCATATACGTTGATACTATGCTCGTGTACACGCTTGACAAGGTAGATAACACCAAATTGTAGGACTACAGAAAGTTGAAATCTATTCCACTCAGCAACCTAATTAGTTTTCAGGCATGCCATTCATTGCGAATTGTCGTGTGGAGATTTGACAGTCAGTGGCTGTTCACTTTGTGAGACCTGCCCCGCTGATGTTTGGGAGGCAAATGGATCGATGCAGAGCAATTGCCGCACTGATCAATACAACCGGTACGGAATTATACGAGAACCCTGTCGTACAGTATGCCATGTGCTGTTAATACTATAGGCACGGTGTCAGCAACAGTATCGCGTGTGTTTACCCTCATGGGTATGTGAATTATGACCGCCTCTGTTGAATTGGTGCACACATAGCCTAGCAAATCCCGAAAGGTTAGGAATGTTGGGAGTATGAGCTACATTAGGTTAAAGGAGAATGACGAAAAATGTCGTATCACAAATTAATGGCTGCCGGTGTTGTCGGATTTGGTTTTTGATGTGTTGATATAACATTGTCGATGCTATGATCCAGGGTAAACTCCAGAGCCAGGATGTTGATATGGGGGGGGGCGGCATTGAGCATGATTATGAACGGAGCTCCTGGGGGTTTTTATGCGAACTTCAGGCTTCTATATGACCTCAGGGCATGAGAAGCATTAACCTTCCCATGCTGAAACTGTCTGAGTGGAACTGCTGGAAAAGTTTCTGAGTGACACCATGCAAATATCCTTATCTTTATCTATATTCGTGAAAAAGCTGAAACTTAATTTCTCAACTCTTATAATCTTTGATATTTGGTACTCCTTGTCATGTTCTTGTCCGTGCATTAGTCCATGATCTGTCACTTGTAACGATATAGGCCCCCCTATTTGTCCTCAGGCTGGAGAACAAAAAGCTATGCTTCGCGCTATAAATAACGCGATTTAGTTACATGTTTTCTTGATTTATAAGTAGACCCCATTCCTGTTTAATACACATGCAGTCATCTGTTTATTGTTTTTTTTTAATTGTGTAAGAAACGTTTAATAATTGGCTAAAAATATTACAGGTGGCCATTGCAGTTCCTTTTTTTCATTTTTGTATTGATTGGCAAAAGATTAGAAACCTACAGGAATCACGAAAAATTATAGTAATTGGAGACTTCTACACAAAAGTCTTTAGACCTAACAGAAGAAAAAAACATGGAAGGTTGAGAAGTAGATAAGCAGCCAGCAGATAATATGATAAATTAATGTTAAAATATGGGTTCTGGTTATTATTGCAATTAATCCTGTAGTCAATGTCATCGGCGCACTTACATGTACTTTTACTGGGGTCACACGGGTGGAGACACTGCCGGATCGGGGTGGGGGACAGAGTATGGTCCTCAGGGAAATTTTTGGTTCTGCTGTTGAAAAAGATGGGGAAAGGTCATACGGGGTTGACTATTCCATTTCTTTTCCTCCCCAAAGCGTGTAAACAACTGCGAAATTTTGGCTCACTCCTCACAGAGGTCCGGCAGAAAAAGTTACATAAAGAACCCCTCCCCGAAGATTTGTTCCAGATCTGCCGTCGGATGGAGAACTTTTATCTAATAAACCAAAATGACTTTACATTGGCATGTTAATTGCCGTGGCGTCGAGTGTCACCTTCTGGAGATACGTGGATAAATCTGTACGTTTTTGCAAAGTAATACAGATGCCTACAAATCGATAAACAGGTAAAATGGCTATCATTTCCAACCAACAGTGATCCAAACAACTGAAACGATAGCCAAAAAAAGAGCAACAATCACATCCAATAAACGATGTTGACAAATGGGTGACGTTGCTCAAAAGACCGTTGGCTGCATCCGAATCTGTTGTCTATAGCTAGGTCAAGGTCTTCACCCCACTGGAAATACGCATTGACGCGCAGATAAAAGACCTAGCCGTAGCTCTGGAAGCCTGTTTCAGACACGGCCAAAGAACAAAGTTTCAAAAACTGGCTGCTTTTGACTTGAGTCAAGCTGAATGTATCAAGTAAAGGCTTTGCTTGTAGCCCAGTTACGCCCGAACAGGGCGCTGAGATGGGCTGACGGCCCTGCACTGCAGTTGGCTACATTGCGCACGACCTGCGACCGCGAGGGTACCACATTCTGGTAGCGAAAGGTTATTTCATTTGTTACATTTGCCAATGGCAATGCTTCGGCACCAGTGTTGCCTCTGGATAATTTTTTTTTCAAGATTAGGGTTTGAAATTTTTCAAGATTTTCAGGCCATTGTAAATTATTACACAACCCTTTGTAAACGTAACAAAGTACACGTGTACATATAGGCAGGCCTATACTGGTTTTTCTGAAGTTCACGCAGAAAAATTATGCTGCAAGCAGTACAGTAAACTGGCGCCATTATTTTCCACGGACTGACACGTACTGGACAGTATAGTTTAAACGCGTCTTGACTTGGATACTATACGCACAGCCTAAAAAAAACACACAAAAAATGAAAAGAAATTGAAAGATAACGGACCAGACAATAATTTAATTTGTGTTTCAGAAACCTCAAGGATGTTGGTATGCATGTTATTGAGCCCTGGACAGTGCTACTGTTTTCAATGGGGCTTGAATTAGTAGACTGTATCCATCAGCCCCTCCCAGCGTCCTGTTTGGTAATTGGGCGCTGGGCAAAGACCAAAATGTAACTTAGGCAACCTTTTGCAACTGCATCAATCCGTTGAGGGCGGTATACCATTACGGCGCCTGGTAATTTAATTGGCCAACGGGGTATTGTTGCCGATGTTAAAAAGACTCTCGATCGGGCTTTCTACCTCCTTATTTGGTTTCCCAGCCTCACACGAACGTTTATAGTTGTCATTATTCTGTGTTCAACGTCATGCGCATCACGGCGTTAACTAGTCAACTTGTTCTTCAACACCTCAATACCGGCACATGCACCGGGAATGAAATCCTGTACACTCTAAATATGGCAAGGAGCACATATATCTCATTATCCTAATTCCACACAGTTCAAAGGAAGTAATATGTGTAGGGGAGGGGTGCATGAAGTTATATCTCATTCTCAAGGTTGGGGTAGTCGTGCCAGCAATTATTCACGGTTATTCGCCAAACCTGAAGCTGTCCCTGATCGGGTGCGTATACTGATTATGAATACATGTAATACACAATGGATGAATCATTAATCAACAAGCCTCACTGACCTCCTAAAACTGCAAAACTAAAGATGAAAAGGTCAAGAATTCTGTATAAAGTCCTGGACATCTCAGTGTTTGCATAAGGGCGAATCGATTGTCAAGAAAGTGAAATAAAAATACACAATTTACGTCGATGACAGAACAAACAAGAAAAATATTACGGTCAAGGCGGTTTATGAATTGTGCAATGACTGAAGAAATCCCCTGTAATCTGATTGGTCGGTCGTCAGTCACGTGTCACTGAATTATTTGCACGTTCCTACCGCTAAAAAACAGAAAATCTGTTCCAATGTACATTGTATAAAAATAATGAATGTTCATGATAATGAATGTTCATGAGTGCATTGGTGGGAGTAATTTTGTTAGGTGACAGATGTAATATCCTATTTCACGATGATAAGCCGAGTGTGATGGAACATTTCATCTGTCACCTATTGAAACTGTTATTACCACTGCATGAATGTGAAACATTAATTATTTGTTATATACTGTACCTGCATAAATCCCTGTCTATTCGGAGGGAAAAAAATAACAGTCCTCGTGTATTTCTACGTTCGCTATTTTATGAAACAAACCTGTGTCTGAAGCGACACCAACTGGTAGTTTCGTATTATATTAGACAGGTTCTCGTCCCTGCAATACTTCCCTCTTTCTTACTGTGAATAAAATATTTGAAATGGGAGCGGGAACCAGGCAAGTGATATGAAGTTCTATTTGTTGAATAGAACGAATAATTCAATTACATGTGATCAACGATCCACCAATCAGATGACAGGGATCTATGCAGGTACTGTATAAAACGATCCATGTCTAAACACTGTGACAGGAGGTGTGCTTGTGGGGGGGGGACGGGTTAGTGTGTTACCGTGTTACCGGAACCGTTCTTTCCTCGCTTCTCACCAATGAAGCCCGGGTTTGAGTCCATTTAGTTTCCAGTCCATACTCGCTCTCGCAGGTTTTCTCCAGGTACTCCGGTTTCCTCCTGCCTCTAAAACTGGACCTTCCTAACTCCACAATGTGATGCTGATTAATAAAGGTTACGAATAAACGTATGTAATTATTGGCACAAATAGCCCGAGTAGCTGAAAGCGACATTAAAACAAAACAACACTGTCACAAAACTGAGTGAATCCGTGATGTAGTGATTTATATTATCCAGAGGAGAGTTTTCAGGATTTATTCATGTGGTGATGGCACATTTATAAAAATAATAACAAATATTTCACTTCCGTGAGATGGAAAGCATTATAAATGAATTATGAACAATTTCACTCGGGTTAAAGATGAAATGTCGCCACATGAGTTCCACTGCATAATTGCACAAGCTAACACCCATTACCCGTCTAATATCGTACGATACATGCCTAGTCACACGAGAAGCTCTTTCCGGAATATTGTTTTTCACCATTTTAAAAATATTTTTCAATTACTGCATTATTATTATTCTAAATATTTTAACCCCCAAGAGAAATACAATGAATTTGAACATATATGAATGTACTGTAGTATTGTTGTAGGGCCCTATATTATCAACCGTTTTACTGAAAGTTAGATTATTAACCGGCTGTCAATATCAGACCTACAATTTCGATTGTCTGGTATTAATGCATGGGTAGAAAACAATCTGCATGTTATTTAGATGATAAAATTCCAGATATTTGTGGGGTGTGAAAAACAACATCGTTCCGCACTAAATATGGAGCCTTAGGTGGTAAGAAGTACGGAGTCATAATTCCAAAAGCCCCGAACCAAACAGGCGAGACGAAGAAAGAAACAAATTCGATTTCTTGAATATTAACTTGAGCGAATTAAACAGTTTGATTGTTGAAAGAGCGGCCACCCTTACGCGTAAAAGCGCACTGCATGTACATGCACACTTTTTACTTTGATAAAATTATAGACATGCTGCGGGAGATTTTGTGCATTGTGCAGTGTCTGAAAGGTGAACAAAAGCATGAACACACTGCGGTGGGGTCAGATCGAAAAATTAAGATGCCTGTGGTACCTTCTAAGGAAATGAAAATGGAAAGCGCAAATGTAGGCCTACGCAGGCTAGTTCAAATAGCCCTCGACAGATATCGAGGTTTGGTGGTAAAGGGTCTCTCTTCTTTAAAATGACCAATGAAATTACATGCGAAAACGATGACTCCGGAACAGGACTATCGTAGTATGAGCCTAATTTCCCCCTTTGGAACTCTTGTCCCCTTCCGAGAGAAGAGCCTGGCTTCGTAGCCAAGGGTGGCAACTGTCCCAACTCCCGTCTTGCCCCCCCAAAAAAAACCCTGACCAGGCCATTGTTTTGACCTACACTGTGTAACTAATTTTCTAGTGAACGCGATTAGAGTCACTTTAATTCACGCTCTGATTACCAATCATTGGGGCCTGATTAAAAAGGTTGTATACACTGGTTACCAAATTGGTTACATTTTTATGTTAAAAAAACTGCAGAATGAGCTCTCTTTCTCTGAAAGAAACGCGTTCACAGCTGTCGTTAAGGTTATTTCAGAAAAAGTGATGGTCAGTTTTATACTCATTATGGGAAAGTATATTGATACCACGATAATTATTTATGGAATGATAATGATATAACCCAAGTCTTTTGTAATCATTCAAGCGCAATACGAAACGAAACTACAATGAATTTACTGTAACTTCAAATAGTTTTACTGAAGCAGCATGCCAATGTTGAACGAATTGTTTGTCTATTTTATTGCATCGAGATAACGACTGACAAGGCTGTTTGTGAATTTATTGAACATCGATATTCCGTATATTTGCCACTTACAAGTCCACCCACACGAGTTGAATGTGGACATCAAGTGATGCGTAAAGCCACTATTGTCAGTAGTGTGTGTAAACAGCACCTGCCAGAGGGAGGAGGTGCACAAACCACATCAGCATATATCTCGTGCTTTCGCCGGATGCAAGTTCTCCATCGAGCGTGCTTGGCTGATCGTCTCTTATTTTGGGCGAATATTTTGCTGTTTCTCACAGAAGAAGTCGACTATTATTTGAGGTACACGACTTGCACGAGTAGCATCCTCCGTCCCAGTGAAATATCAAAGAATTTGGACGCTTTTTGGTGGGAAAACTGACCGATCTTTGTTTGGAAGTTCATGCTTCGATTATCGCCTTTATCCGTATAGGCCTAGGCCTCCCATCGCATTCATTCAGTATACACACTGTAGGACAATCCATTAAAGGTTCGCTCGCAATTAGCCTTGCTGTGCTGTATCGTAAGTTCTGAAGTAGCCAGAAACTCACAGATTGGCAGGAATGGAGAGGAAGAATTGTCACTTCTTGTTGTCAAGATCTGAGTGATTCGGTAGAAGTTTTCGAGGAGAAAAGGGGGCCAGAAAATCGCCCATGATTCACGCCTTAAATTACCGGCTGGCTGGATACGTCGAACCACAAATTTGTTCCCCGGAGCGCGTTGGGTTTTAAATCCACTCTGGCCAAAGACTTGCCCTTCTCGTGTTGTAATCCTGTTCGTGTCGTCACGATAATTAACCAAGATCGTCTTTGCTGTTCACAGGTCTGGATACGTCGTTTTTTTTGGATGCCAAGATGAACGGGGTGGATCGAGACGTCCAGCAGCAGCATGCAGCGTGTGGCAGTGGTCGTCGCGGGAATGTTGCTGCTGCTGTTGCTGTAACTGCTGCCTCGGTAGCCGAGCGCGAGCAGACCACTTCCCAACAAGATCGCGAACAGAAATCCGCAAATACGGGGAAGTGGACGCACAAAATGTATGCCAGGAGTACCAAAAGGTACGGCAAACTAGGAGAACAGTGCTGGAAAGCTGTTCAGGAGTGTTATTTTATTTGTTGGGCGATTTGAGGCCGATGCTCGAGCGATCGATGTCTAATCATTGAATGGTGTGGCGCTGACAAGCCTGAAATGTAAAGTCCACGCTACGGCTCTTGTTACGGGCCCACAGCTCATTTGCATATAAGCTAAAAACCGTTCCTGTTCTGTTTCGGTCCAAATTTGACCATCCAGCCCTACTCGATCTGGAAGATCTAGATGAGCTCTTTCTGCTGGTGTGAAAATTATTGCCATAATTGCCAGAATTCGCGAGATATCGCGTCTGCAAAATAAGCCACGTAGGCTCTATGGTTAGGAGATCGGCCATGTTTTTATATGCGCCGTGTATACATTATGCCCGTGTGTACACACATTTGCGGAAAGGATCCAAATTTTCTTTTTGCTTTGTCTCGCTTTCTATTGAGAACAGTGAAGCAGGAAATTGTCTTTGATTTTTATTTTCAGGATTCAGAAAGAACTAAGAGAAATTATGTCGGATCCTCCACCAAATTGCAGGTAATTTTTAGATTTTCCTCCATTCATGCCATTTAGTACTCACACTAGGCCTAGTTTAGCAAAATTTGCTTAAACGTGGCCATGAGCATGATGACTGAAAAAGATACTTTGATGTAAAAATTATTTAGTCATTTACTAACAAGTTAGATTGGGATTGTTTACATTTTGAACTTCTGTTGTCAAGATTGAAGACATTCCAGATCTAAATGACAGCTGACATTGCAATGGAATTTTTGTGACATATGTATGATGTATGTGAAGACCTTTTGAAACATAAAAAATGTTGATAATAGTAATGGTTGGACTCAATGCATCAAAATTACGATTTCATTTGTAAAATGAAACAACACTATTCCTTAATAGCCAGAACTGCTTGTACCATTCAACTTTCAAGTGCAACTCGAATGACAATTTAAGTCTTTAAGGATGAATTTCTTTGTGGATAGAGTTCTCAGAAAACGTTGTTCCACTTTAATTTTTTAAAATTGTCTTTAAACCTGGAAGATGTGTTAAAATATTAATTTTGAATAAACTGTGTTCACGGTAACGTGAAATTTACAATATAGAGCACTGCCACAAAGAGGTCATTCTACAAGTTTATGGTTGGCTAAAACTTTGGATTGGAGCAAATCTCAGTCAACAGCTTCAGGGCATTCTGAAATAAGAGTTTGTAGACTTTCAAAATGAACATACGTGTACACTTGAGAATCAAACACCGAGAACTATTGAAGTTCACCGTGTGTAGCTGCTAAATAGAATTTGGTGGCTGGTTCCCAGCAGTGTCGGTAATTTTGAGGACAGGTAGCTGCCATGGTAAACACATAAAGTCTTACATAATGCGTAGGATATTCATTAGTTTGTAAACAGCATAAAGTTGTGCTAAAGTGGAGATCATAATGCAAAATAATTCAAAGAGAAATTGAGGAACTTTTTTCTGAATTTTAATGCGTGTTAGGTAATTTGCAAAGACAAGCTAGGTCCAATATTCTTGAATGCTGATGCTAATTGAAAATCAGTAAAATGGGTTTGAACAATTTTGGCCAGTTTAAAAAAAATTGGGAAAATAGGTGGAATTCTTACCATATTTATCACATGACTGATGCGTTACCTGACCCAAAGGTCTTCCAAGCTAGGCTGCATCCAAATCTGTTTCCTAGAGCTATCTGTAGGTCTAAGTCTTCATGCCATTGGAAATACGCAGAGACATGCAGGAAATAGAGTTTTTCTGCATGATGCCACATGATGGGCTAAGACATTTCAGGAAGCGCACCATGTCAGTGGAGGTGTGTGAATTTTCGAATCTGTGTATTTCTGTTTGCAGTTTCATGTATGATAGAATGTTGAGAGACGTCAAAGGCGCGCGCATTTCTGCACACATCCGTGTAAATGGAATGCTGACCGTAAAAGTCATGTGACTGAAAATCCTCTGCAGGCCCACCATAGCTCTAGAAACCTATTTCGGACACGGCCTTCATCTGGATCTTTTGGTGTGGGAACCAGACCAAAGAATTTGTCAAAAATTTTCCACAATGCACAGCAGAAAAAGGCTTCTCCATGGCAACCTCTCAGTGGCACACCCTATTGATCTACAGATCCTGGTTTGCGAATTAGCCACGCCCCACTGACAACCCTATGACATATTGAATGTTGAGTTTTGTTTGTCTCAGATTTTGCATGTCCTGCCTCCATTTTGTATATTATATAACTGGAAATATTTCACAAGTTGCGTCGATGTGATTCTACAGCGACAAGTCGATTGTGACCTGCACATATTGGGTAGGCTTATTTTTTTCAGTATGAAATTGTCTAAAGGTGGGGTGTTTACATGTATTGATCTTCCTTTTGCAGTGTTGAGTGTAACATTTTTTGAGCTGCAAGGGTACATCACCCTGTAGAATACTTACATGTAAACAGGTTGGGAAATATGTTTCCAATGAGAAAAGGTCATGCTGGAATTTATTGTGAGGGTTTGCGTGGACTGGGAGTGATGTATGTTTGAATGCTTGTTATGGTGCTTGATTCTGTTATAATCCGTCTCACACATTCTCTAGTTATTGATGGAATTGTTTTGATTTTTCTGGAATGCTCTACTTAACAAGGAATTACCCTCCGTGTACTATTTACTGATATTCTATTGTAAATTACGAGCACCGTGCCTGTCATCAGCATTGGTATCATTTCATGTTTATTTTTCCTTGTGAAATACAATGCCGAATTTTCTGACAAAGTGTTTTTTCCCTAAACAAGTGTAATCTTTTCTTCTTCAGGCAGCTTGACTTTTCCTGTTTCCTTTCACTTTCATTCAGACTTGTTTAAAATGTCATTACATGTGTCATACATGTACATGTACATCATAATAAACTTGTTAACAAACTCCTGTACTTAGATGGCAATGAGTGGTCACATGCATTGTACGTGTGTCTTGTCCCTAAATGTATTCTGGTTTTTGCTGTCTGGCAGATTCAGTGATGTTAGGTCAATAGTGCAGCGGGTCGCTATAGATTTGCAAATTATCACAAGATTGAGATTTTGAGAAAAGAAAAATTTCCGTGTAGATGGTGAAAGTGGGCTAAATGGGACCCCCCTCTAAAAATAATTCCATTTAGTGATCTGGAAACAAAACTGTGGTGATGTGGCTATCCTTGGTCTGTTCATGTAGTAGCTGGGACATGTTGATTGATAAATGGCATAGATATGTAATTTGATAAGGCAGAAATGTGGATCGTTTTCAACATTTGGATTGGACGGGATAAGTTGAGGTTTGTGATATATGTTCCTTTGGCTAGTGCTGTTGGGGGTTTTCATCTGTTGTGATTTCACATCAAGGTTTATGAGTATTTTCATCGGGGAAAAAACACTACGTCGGAATGTTGCATGCAACATTATGTGGTCAGCTTTCTCAGCTGCTTCTCCAAGTAATATTCATTCAGTGGTCGTTCACTTCACAGGCTCTTTTTTTTTTCTTCAAAAGATGTCATCGTTGCAAGGATGAACAGTTCTTATTCCAATCGAAGTGTTGCCACTGCTTAGCTTTAAGACGATACATGGCACTGATGACATACTCAGCTGTGCCTAGGAGGTCCTTTTTTTGCCTGTTTCCCCTCCCATCAAGGTCCAATCGCAAATTTTGTTCTTTGTTCACGTATGGACTGATGATTGCAAGTCATGACGGGTTGTAATTTGAGATAAGGAAACCCTTCTTACATTTGTTTGAAAGGTACAGTTGGTAAAAACAGAAGCCTATTACGAGTCCCGAGTTCTGGACTCTTGAAATTTAGAAGATTATTCAGCAGTCAGGCCTCTTCTCATGTGTGTCGCAGGAGTTGGGACTGGGGGTCCTCCCTTGGCAGAAAAATGGATAAATTAAAAAAAAAAAGGAAAAAGGAGCAGAGAAGAAAGGAGGTAATCACTTATGTATTTTCTTGGAAATACCTTGGAACCATCACTGATGGTTTGTCAGTTTGGTGCTGATTAGTGCTTTGTTCTCCCCCAACCACGGAAAAAGATTTGCCCTATTCCTAGCCGTGCCTTTTCTTGAACTTTCTACAGTAATTGAAATCAAATTTGTTGACTTAACATGTATATAATAAATTATATTTCATCAATTTATAGGTCTGCCATACATATGCAGATTTAATGGTTGAATTAATTGATTCTTCCAAGTTCATGGGGTTTTGCCCAAGTTGTTTCCGACCTAGAGTAAAGTTTTATAATTGAGTACATGCAGAGAACAGAACTTACCATATGTGCGATTATAAGAATATAAATTAAGACCGTTATCTAAAGCTCTGCAGAACAAGTTGTACCTCTAGCAACTTCCTGGCTAGCTAGATTTTCTTCAGAGGCATAGTTAGCCATCTGCGAGTCTTTGATATTTCTTTGGCACTGCCTGACTTTATTGCCCTATCTTGCCTCCACACAGACACTTGATCTTTGCATTTTCCCGTAGATTATGTGAGGCCTTGATGCTTTGATTGACTGAGGTATTTTTCCCCCCAAGTTGTTGTTAGTGGTCCATTGAGTCAGATTGCTATGTGTTGATACAACACATCACACCACTTTGTGTGAAGACACCTTCACTACTACCATCTTTGGGGTCAGTGATTTTCCCATTTAAAACTCAGATTGCCTTCTGATAAAGCAAATGTAACATTCCCTTGTAGCCGTAAGAAGAGCGTATGAAAATCGGCTTCTCACTTCATTGTGGATGTCAAGTAGTGAATTCATGAAAGTGGCTGCTGGCATTTTTTACATGCTACAGAACTTCAACATAGCCATTCAACACTCCCAAATAATCCTAAACTGTACATTCAAGTTGTGACTGAGTGGACAAATCTGGACCAGAGTACATTTACATGTATGCATTCTTGTGGTTAGCCCTTCGCTGCATTGAGGGGACAATTCATTTGTTAGGAAAAGTCGAGACCCAGTTGCAGGGATGAAAATATGACCCTGTAACATTGTTGGTCCCCATAACATCTATTTTTCAACATGTGTGTTCTATTTTTTTTTCTAAATCTGTTTTGTGCACATCGGTGTGAATTCTACTCGTTTAAAAAGAGGAAGTCTATTTATTTTTTTTTCAGCTGCAGAAGAAAATCACAGGTTCTACATCTTTATCACTCAGAGTGATGTCACAAGATTATTTGTTTATTTGTTCATTGCTTACTTTGCCAATTGGCCTTCCCATTCCATTGCTGTGACTCCTTCACCTGAAGACATTTTGGAGGAGGTTCGTTTTGGGAACCTTGCTCAGTTGAGCTGTCTTTTTCACTGCTGTTTGAGCTACTGGTGCATACAATGGGAGAGGGAAATTCGATTGGTTGATCCTTCGTGAAATCTAGTGGCCTGCTTGGAAATCTTTGTCCATAAATGCTTAAGACTGTTCATCTGTTCTTGTTGGTCGATGATAATTTTTTCTAAATTGTTAAAAAATTTATGATAATTTTTTAAAACCACTTTCCTGGTTTCACATGAAATGTTGCATCCTATTTTATGGA